TGATGTGGAGGATATTCTGTGTCTCTTCATATTCAAGCACTTGCACAGCTCTTCATGCTCTTAACTATGCTTTTGAGACAAGTCCTTTTCTGTGTCCTCAGTTTGTGGTAGTGTTCTGTTTGTTTGCTGAAAGCTTGGTGTGGGGTTTTTTCAGTTTGTTTTTGGTTGTTTTTTTCTCCTTCAAGCTGTGTCCCCTGCCCCAACCTGGCCATCTTTTCAATTTTGACTGGATTAGTTCAAATGAGCAAAATACTTTATTGTTGTTAGCTGAACAAAAGCTGAAAATCAGTTGAGCAAAGGCTCTTCTGCCCAAAAGCATTTCATCCATTGGGAATGCTAGCAGTAGTTTGAGTATATAAATGGCATAAGAATCATCAGTTAGCGTCAGTTTTTATATTCATGATGTTAGATTAAAAAAATCTGTTTCCCTTGATAAAACTTAAGAGCAGAGAGCAGAGTGCTGGTTGCCATTTTTTAAAGAACATCAATTAAGTAGTGTATAGTACAGCAGTTGCAAATGGGGCTATGTGTTCTCCAGCGAGCTGGTACACAGACCTTTCCCAGGCAAGCTTTGCTCGTGCTCACACCCGGCAGCTGGCTCTGGGTGGTGTCATTGCATGAGCAAAGCTTCTGGGATTCCAGGTTGGAATCTGTGTCATAAGTTTAGGCCATCATTTTGAAGTTCTTAAAATCTGTTATAACTTTGAACATTTCAAACTTGGCTAAAAAAATTAATTTGTTATTTGGACTTAGAAGTATGTTTACTATATGCATCTAGAGGGACATCATACATTATGTTTAGTTTTAAGAAAGTCATATAAGTGCCATAATACATTCTTTTTATTTATCAAATATAGAGTAAGAAATTAAAACCTATTTTTTTGAGACACCTTAATGTTTTTGTGGAATTTTATTTGTAAATAAAGCTCCTTGTATTGCAGAAAGTGAGTACTGATCCCCTGTACCAGTGGATGACTATGCGTTCTGTTAGGGCCCTGCGTGCAGGCAGGTGGGTGCCTCGTAGGATAACAGCACTGCAGGCAGAAAAGGCCAAGGTCTAAACTCAAGGTGTATTTCCTGAGAAGTAGGGACAAGCGATGTTGCCTTATAACACTATTTTTTCCTATCTAAAAGTCTTGCATTTAGTTTTTACTTTTCATATGTTACAAAACAAATCACTGATGATGTCTTCTAATACTGCAGTATATTAAAAATAGAGCAGAATGGCATTTGCTGTTAGGTTTGTTTCTGGCTTCACAGACAATATGAATTATTTGCTAGGTAAAATAAAAGAATAGAAGAATTGCTTAAATAGTTGAGACTTGTGGCAGAAATTCTACACGCAGAATTAATGTTTTCATTCCTATGGCATGGTTTCAGTTTGTAGCCTTTTTTGTGGTTTATTTTATTTTTATTCCTTCTTGTTTCATTCCTTTGTTTTAAGGAAAGGTGGTGGAGCCATAAGGACTTTAATTTAAAATGACGCCCATATATTTGTAGTTCAGCCAGTAACGTAAAAGCAGAACTAAATTTCAGTCTCAACTTTCATATGTATTCCTCAAATATTAAGTTAGCCATGTATTCTGTGTTTTCTTTAGTGCCATTTCATATGTGGGTGTGAATACTTCTTTAGCTGCCAAGATAAATGAATGCTGTTATGATGGCAAAATGAAAGTCGTGGTGCTGTTTTTCCAGCAGACTCTGAAATACTTGCCTTATTCAAAAAAACCAAAACCCCCCAAAACCAGGCTTTTTTTTTCTTAAATAACAGATGAGAGCATCGAAATACACAATACAGAATGAAACGTTGTGTTTTGGGCCTCATTTAAGATGCTTGGGCTCAAGATGTTTCATAGGACATTGTAAGGTTTTTTCCCAGCCTCTTGTAAAATTGTGGTATAATATGTGGTCACAATAAGGTGTATTTTTAGTTTTATGTAGTTAAGTTTTGTAGAACATTACTGTAGCTTAGAGGATCTCTGCAAAGGTTTGTAGTAACAAGGGGGGGAGGTAGATGATGCAACTAGAATATTTATAATAAAGCACAGACTAGTTGGTTTGCGTTTTTTTTGTTTGTTTGTTTTTAATTATTGTATTTCTCTTGATAGGACTTGTGAAGCATGTAGGTTGTGAAATTGGGAGGGGGAAGCACATACTCAAAAGGGTCAGGATAGTATGGACTGAAGTGGGAGTAGTTGCCTGAAGCTATCAGCTCCTGTTTTCAGGGATGTTTGATCATGGCAAAAAAAATAATTACAAAACCTCACAGTATTGGTTAGTATTTGTAAAAGACTCTAGAAATAATTCTGAAGGTTATGTATCTTGTCCTTGTTTTCATGTGTGTCTGCACTGAAGTAGTGTACATCCTGAGTCAAGGGAGGGCAAGTGCGAAAGCTGTTGATCAATACAAAAAGTGGAGATATAGTATTTAATTATTAACAGTTTCTGAGCCTATCCTTCAGTTTTACAATGTTGGAAACAACAGGAAATAAAACTCGCTAGAAGTCAGGTAACTTTTTTTTTTTTTAAATTTCTTGGTTTTTCTAGTCTTGGTAAGTATCAGATGCATTGTATCACAGCCTGTGAAGATTACACCAAAGCCTGTATTAAAAGGCAAAAGACTTCAATGCTCTGGAAAGATATTGGTGCGTATAATGATATCTTGAAGTGTGTGTATATCAGGATGTATATATCTGAGAGAGGGTGGAAATTAGCCTTTCACTAATTCTTCTGGGAGATGATAAGCCATATAAAACTTTGTTTAAAGTATAAGCTTGGGTTGTAAATCCGGTTTTGCTCTAACAATGAGACAACCAGGTTGTTCCAACTTCATTGTTACAGTGCCAAGCTAGTTAAACTAGAAGTTTTTTTCTTTTTTGCATGTCTCCTGAATTAAATTAATATTCAGGTAGCTTATTTGTCTGCAGCACCCGGTAAAAACGGCTATGCTCTTATGTCAGCTAACTAAGCCCAAAGTTGTCTTTGCTAAGAAAGCTGGACCTCAAGATTGTTCATTTGGTGCTGAGTTACAAAGAAGTGGTTGCTTCTAATTTGCTCCTTTTATTAGGTGAAGTTTGTTTTGGAGGTTTGCATGTTTGTTTTAGCAAGACAGCCTGAAGCATTGTGGCAGATCCATCAAAGATTTTCTCCTCAGCTGCCATTAACCCCGCAGTTGGGTAACATGAGTCTGTCTGGCTCATTGTGGATAGATGGACTTTCGTAGGAGTTGAGAAAATATGTGCATCTCCATATTTAAAAAAAAATGCACGATATATTGGGATTGATTGAAATCTACTTGCATGCAAAGATTTTGTTCACTGTCCCTTAATATACCAAAATAATAAGAAAAATGGCTGGGCAAGGTCTTCATAAATTATAGGCGAGTTGTGAATTGTGACTGCTTCACTGTTGAAATCTGACAGCATCTTTTAGTAACCAAGAATACACAATGACAGATTTGAACATGATTGGTTTCAAAAAAAAAAGTAAATCCTGTTGGCTGGAATATAACCCTTTATTTTCTGTTGTCAGCTCACCTGGGGTCCTGATCTCAGACCAGGATCCACTTGTGTGAGGCATGTAACAGACTTACAAAATGTGTGTAATACAAGGTAATACAGACAGATGACAAAGAACGGCAAAGAATATTGGTCAGTATTGCTTATGTCAATAGGCAAAGATTTAAACAGTTGTAAGCCTGAAATATGTTTTCCGCTAGGCTTCAATGCAAGAAAATTTTGGGAAGGATAAAGCAGTCTTGTACAGAGCTTATGGCCAGCTCCCTTAATGCATGGGTATAGTTTGGGGAGGATTTGGAGCAGGAAAATGTTATTTATTCAAACTCAAATCGGAAGGACTCTGGATTCCTGGTGTCATAGACTAACGAATGGACTGGCATTTTGGTACTGAAATGAGAGGAGCAGGTTGTCAGGACTTTGAAAGTGAAGATGAAGTTGACTTGTTCTGCTGTGGAATAGAAGCATGACCGAATATGGAGGAACAAAGAGAGGGAAGGTACATTTTTCAAGTCCGTCAGCTGAATTCTCATATCGATCTTAAATTATGAGGCAGAAAGTTTCAGTACATTAAAGCGAGGGAAAGGCTTTTTATTGTCTAGTTTTGGTGGTGTGTTTTGTATGTGTATGTCATAAGCTAGTTTTGCCCAGTTGTTGTTGCTTGAGTTTAGTTAGAACAGATAATGGGTGAGATCAAGGGACTAAGATGACTTTTTGACTGTATCTGGACATTAAATCAGCTCCACTGTGTCATGAAGCTGCCATTTAAATTTTTGGTACCGCAGAAAACCAAAAATGCTATTGCTGTGGTTTGTAGCTGCTTTGAGCACTGAGAACATGAAAAATGTCCAGATAATCAGGATTCTAAAAGGTGGAAAAAATGTGGGTGGTTCTAGGGAATCTGATTTGGGGGACGTTGCTTCCTGTATGCAAATCTGGGGATCACTTGGAGTTTGAACTGGCAGTTAGGACATGTAATCAACTTCCTAGAGGAGATGATTTGCACCCCTGAAATCAGGTTGACTCTCTCTGTTGTTCCTTGGTTAGGACTTTTTTTTTTTTTGTTTGTGCCATTTAAAGATAGTGTGTTAATCCAGTGCTGGAGATCCTTCTGAAAATTTTGTAGCCATTAAATATTTTAGTACGGTGGGTATTATAAAACACTTCTGTCTAACCTACTTAGTCCTTCGTGATTCTTTGGAAGAAGAATGAAGGAGTCTGAAAATTATCTCGTAACTGGTAAGGCTTAGATGTCTCATGCGAACTTTTGCTTTAAGCTTGGTTAACTCCTAAGAGAAAAAGGGGATTTGATTTGCTTTTCTGCGTGCTCTCCTGTGAGCCATGCTAGGTCTTTATCCTTTCTTGTTCAGAACAAGAAACTGATGATTTGACAAGGAGAGCTCCTCAAACATGTTGTTTAGACTTGTGACTGAGTTTAACGCTGTTGAAAACTTTATGGTCTAATAATATTTTCCTTATTTTCAGATTAACTGCTGACGTACTGATCGAGTTCTGCTATTCTTCAATGAGGAACTACAGGCTGATCTTTTGCCATAATCTTAAACAACCATAAATGACAAAAGAATGCTTGGTCAGTGAGGGCAGCTGGCGCAGAAAACGTTTTTCAAACTCGGCTGTTTAAGTACTCTGAGGTAAGTTTCTTAAACTACTTTCTCCGGATTATACAAAAAAAAAAAGAAGTTTGGATTTCAGTATGTCAAATCTATTAGAATTTATCAGTCCATTAGTAAGCAGAAAATTAATGTTGGTTGCAGTGCTTTGGCTAGCAGTATGTACTTCATGTTTTGTGTGCCATCCTCTGTGAAGGTGTTTGCTTGCATTTAAGCAGGTATGTGGGGGTTTTTTTTTGTTTATTTTGAAAAGACAGTTGCATCTTTGCTAGATGAAATATTTTGGTTTTGACAGGATAACAGTTTAACTGAGTGACTTATACTCCCTTTGGTAGTACCATTGTTATCTGCCTAGATCCTGTATCAAGCAAAGACTTGCAAGTAAAGCTTGAGCTCCTGCATGATAGGAAGAATGGTATCACTGAGCATCTAGAAACTAGTTTTGGGGGTTTTTTGTTCAGTAAAATTTTTAATTTGATGCAGGTATTTTATTGTGTAGACCAGAAAATGCCAAATATATTAGAAGTTGATTGCAGTGTAGTTGTGTATCACAAAATACTTATCATTGCATGTAACTAAAACTTGGGGTTTTGATTTGGTGTGATTCACTAGTTTCATTTCCTCTGGAGAGTCTTTTGTGTTGGATTTTCAAAGCCTGACTGAGAAATACTGTCAGAAAATGTACTGAAGAATCTAGCTCTCCCAAAGTACCTTAGTATTTATGTAATGTTGTTGTAACTAGAATTTTCTGAATGTCCTTTGCTGCTATGTATGTTCTTATCAGTCCTCTGGGGATTGAACAGAACACCTCAGTAATAGTCATTTATCTAGTTAGCTGTATTTGGAGTTATTACGGAACTTTTCATTGAATCGGTGAACTGGATGAGAGAGGCTGGGGAGTATTTGCTGTGGGTAATTAAAGCGCATTGTGTTACAGATTGATACATTCAACAGTGAGCACTGAAGTATGATTTTTGGTTTTAATTCCTCTTATTTGACAGAAAAGACAGCTTTGATTTTTGGCTGCAAAAAGATATGAGGAAGAGCTCCTCCCCTTCCTTGAGTAACTGCAACTCTGTTCTTGCTAACAAAATATTTGGAATTCCACTTGATGAGCTGCAGCAAGAAGGGCAACCAGACAATGAGGTTCCATTCATAGTCCGCCATGTCGTGGACTATATTGAGGAACATGGTATGTATTATCTTGCTGTATGTTAAAGAATGTATTTAGCTGTTATTCTTCCAGAATGGGTTGTGTTTTTTGAAGAGCAGTTGTTTTGTTAAGTTATTTAGATTTAATTGGATGTGATTTGGACTGGGTTTTTTTTGTGATAGACATTTCCTTTCTTTTCTGTTTGATTATCGCTGTGTTCTAGCTAACACTAATGCTGTCAGCTCAGTAGGGTGCTTCATAGGAAATTGTGTTTTAGGTACTGCTAACATTTAACGTATTACCATGTTGTTAGCTGAGCATAGGATTGTGTTTGCTGGGAAAAGGACTGCTGGAAGTCTTGCAAAACTCTTATCTGGAAAGTCTTCCATTCAGTATGTGAATTGTGCATATCTGATTATCAGTATTTTCTGATACGTTTGTCCATACTAGATCTAAAAGTTTATTTCTGCAACTTCTAACTCAGGGGGTCTGGAACAAGAAGGACTTTTTCAAGTCAATGGGAACGCTGAGACAGTGGAGTGGCTTCGGCAGCGGTATGATAATGGAGAAGATGTGGACCTGGTTAAGGAAGCAGATGTACCCTCAGCTATTAGCCTTCTTAGATTTTTTCTTCAAGAACTTCCAGAGCCAGTTATCCCAGGCAGTTTGCACATACATTTGATGCAACTTTCTCAAGGTAATCATTATTTTAGATTCAGTGTTTTAATTTTATTATTTTAAGAGTTAAAACCAATATTAAATTGAGATTTTTAGTGGCACTGGGGTTTCTTTGGTGTTTTGTGTAATTGTGCATCAGTAAGCATTCAGATATATCTTTCTTAGCACAAACCCCAAATCAGTCTTTTTTAGGAAACTCAGTCTGGGTTCAAAGACACAGTGTCATTTGTCCATCATGCAGGAAGATAGTGAAGCTGCCACGTATCATGCTGATGAGTTCTGAATATTCCATGTTCTTGTGTGTGAATATTGGAACACTGGTCAGAGCCACTGGGATCAAATTTGTTTGACAGTTTCCCACCACTGATGCTTTAAAAGTGCTAGGGAATGCTTTCGTTTTATTTCCTCTGAATTTCACTTACACTGCCTATGTTTCTATGGCACTTAAAGCTTTTTGTGTACTAGAGAAGAGATCTCAAGCCCTATACTCATGTTGTATTTGCTCTCCCACTGTGGATTTTTTTCAGTTTAAAATTCGTTTGTAGGAGGGGAAAAAAACCGCTGTCATCAGCATGTTGTTGTTGCGAAGTATGTTTTTTCATATACCGCAAAACCTTGCTCTTTCAAATTGACACCCATATACTGGCACAGTATTTTCTTTACCAATTCCCAACTTGTCTATCGATATCCACTCTCCTGGGTCTTTTGGCCTCTGCTGTGTTGAGTGGTGTTGGGGTTGATTCATAACATGACTAGTAAAAACGCTTGTCGTGCATTAGTAATGTCCTCAAGGGGCAGGTTGATGTCAGAGTTCCAGCATGCGCCTGGTGACATAACTGAGGGTTTTGCTGGTTGTCACTCTGCAGGAGTGCTGCTCATTTTCCAGCATCAGTTCATACTTCTCTTCAAGTGCTGTGCTTGTTTTGCTTTGTAAGATGCACATTTTTGTTTGATTTAATTTTCTGTTAAGTTTATTGCTGATAAGAACTTGATAACCCTTGTGATAGTCCTGTTTGTTCAGAGTGGGAATTGGTTTGGGACGAGCGAGTATAGCATAGTTTTCATAAGCTGTTACGATATATTTACAAAGTGTTGAACTGGAGGGTCATCTGCAGCAGTGTGAAGCTTCATCGTTTTCCTCCATTGACAGCCTGTAAAGCCTGAAACTTTGAATGTGGGGTGGTTGTCTGGATAGCTGGTGAGCAGAGGCTCAACACTGATGTGTGAGGCACTAGATAGTCTTGTGGTGGAAACAACGTTTGGAAGCTGCTGACCAGAGAAGCTTGTTAAGGCTGAAGTTCTGTTTGTTTGTCCTGTGCAGTAATGAGAAGCTGAAGTGGATAGGGAATTTCATCAGTAATACATCTGCTGTTTGGTTTGCGTTGCTAACCTCATGGCTCATTGGACCTAACCAGCTAGTAAACCATTGTTAGTGGGTTTTGTTTTTTTCCCTCCTGAAAAATATGATAAAACGGATTGTTAAGACAGTAATTCAGGATGCTGCTGGTTGCTCAGCTAATACTGCTATGCTCCTTGTTATGCTGTGTTATCTCTCAGGGCTGGAAATGGGATTGAGGTATACTCCTTTGGTGTGACAGTGTGATGCCCTTCTATGACTTGCAAAATACACTGTGAAGATTGGGGTTTTTCCATCTTTGAATAGATGACTGTAGAAGGATTTACATATGGGTTGTTCAGGGAAAAGAGCTGTTCTTCAGCATGTAAGTCCCCACTTAGTTCGGTTTTCTTAAATATACAGAGAAACTTTACTTAAACTTGCAGCTTGTCTTTACTGTCTTTTTTTAAGTGTAAAATAAAGTGATTTCAGGAAGATCTGAAGTTATCTGTACCAAGGAAATCGAAACACATAGACCTTTAAATGTTGTTTCCTGATACTAAAATTAGAGTTTCGATTTCATCTACTCAGGTTTTGGGTTTTGATATTTTGACTGTCAGATAGACGTATCTTAGTTTCCAGAATTACACTATCAGCTGCATTTTAGGCAGAGGAATTGCTTGCATAAATGGAGAAGGTGGCAGCAATTTTGGATCCATGTGTTACTCTTGATATTTTCCCTCTTTAGCAGACCTTCCGTATCGTTAGGTTAAGCTTAGTTCTCCAGACAACTTGGTTATACAACAAGATGTGGCCTATATACATCTTTTGAGGCTGTTCTGTGCAGGCCTAATGGTGGCTCGTCAAAAGCAAGTGATTTTAGTAATTGAAGTGGGAATTTGACCCCAGTGTGCTAGGCCGTGTGTCCTAGAAGTGTGTATCCATGGTTTACTGTCAGAGGACTTCAGTTACAGATAAGAGTGTACTCACTTCAGGTATCTGGCTATTGTTTAGAACCTAAATTTTAGGACAGGTTGGTTAGACAAAAAATCTATATGTGTACGTGGAAGGTGGTCTGACTATCACCTCTCACTCTTGCTCTCTTTCTTTTTGAAGGTCCGCTTTGCGAAGGCATTTTTTTAAGTTCTTTTTTGCTGTTTTGTTTCCCAAATGCATTTCTAGAGTGAAAATTAACAATAATATATTCATTTTATTGTGTTACTGTGTTGTGAGAACTATTTTCCTGTGCCCGGTTACCTGTATTCAAATACTGTAGATGTTGACTGTGTCTGAGCGAATGAAGTCCTGCACTGTTTGGTGTTGCTGTACCTACACAACACGGAATTGACTGGCTGCTTTGATTTGGTGTTCAGGACTAAGATGTCTTGGCCCTCTCAGCTAGAGAGGCAGAGTGACTGCTCATCATCTTCAAACATCTTTCTGACTGATCTGAGAAGAGTTTTCAAATGTCTGAGTAAGAAGGGGGGGCCTATTAGTATAAATTTTTCTCCTGCTTTGCGTTCCTGATGTTTCCTTTATATGGAATTTCTCTGTACAAACAGCTATAAACTCTTTGAACCTTGTTGCCTAGAAGGCTGTAACGGACAAGATCTGTGGTGAGGTATTTTGATGAAGGATACAGCTAGATACAGGGTGAAAGTGAGGACGTTTTATGGCAACCCTTTTTGAGGTCTGAAATTGAATCGGCAAGCTTCAGGCTAGGTGTGTGTTAAGATGATTGCATTGAGATAGCTTGCATTCATCAGTTAAGTATTATAGAAGGAAGTAGAGTTGAGAATGGATGGCATGCTTGTAGAGGAGAAAGTTCGAAGGAGCTTGTCTGAAGCAGGGAGAATTTAACTAGCTTTTAAGTTAGCTTGCGGTGTCTGGAGCGGTTACTGTCTCAAGCTCTTCTGCAAAGCAGCTGTGTAACAGCGGTGAAAGGAAAGGAGCTATAGGCCGATGTAATCAGAAAGCTGACTGAGCATTAATTGGGGGAAACATGCTGAAAACTACTGTTAGGACTTGCAGAGGAGAATATGGTGGAAATCAGTGGTTTAAGCTATCAATTTCTGCTTCATAGAATAAATTAAATTTGTAGTTTAAGTTATCATTACGGAAAGTAATCTGATGGTACTGTGCTATGGAAACAAGACTGGGGAGGGTTTTTTTAATGTTCCCCTGCCTCTTCACCACCCCTTCAAACCTCTGACATCACTGAAGAAGAGTGATAGAATAGGAGTTCGGTTATCAGCCTTCCTTTGAAGGGTCAGAGCGGAAGAGACTAATCCAGAGGCTGAAAGGAGAGGATGAGATGCTGGGACAGCAAGTCAAATTCTGACGTTTTAGGCTGTGGTCTGACCAAATTAGTTGTACTTCAGAAGTAAGTAATTGTTGTCAGTCAAAAAGTTGATCAATATCAAATGTGAAAAAGCAGATATTTTGTTTCTGTGATTGAAATATTTTTATTACATTTTTTTCAGATTATAATAATGAAGATGAATTTGGAAGAAAGTTGAGGTTCCTCTTGCAGCAGCTTCCACCTGTTAATTACAGTTTGTTAAAGTTTCTGTGCAAATTTTTAGCTAATGTAGCATCGCATCATGAAGAAATTTGGTCGGCAAGTTCTTTAGCTGCAGTCTTTGGCCCAGATGTTTTTCAGTAAGTTACTTATAAAAGTTCGTGTAATGTTTTTATTTGAATTTTATAGTGTACATCTGTAGTCCAAAGTCTTTGCTAATCCGTGAGTAACACGAGCGAGTACACAGTATGTTTTAGGCAGTATCTTTCTTTCTGTTCCCCCACCCATTCCCTCACCCCAGTTTTGTCTTACAATTTTTGCTCAGATTTAACCAATAGCTTGTCTATGAGCTGTTGCATTAGATATCACTGATTTGATTGTTGCATTACTGTGATTATGCTGAAGTTCAAATTTTTTGGACATAGTGTGTAAGATTAGTGTTTGTGGCAAGAAAGCAGTTCTGGGAGAAAGCTGTTGAAGTACAAACGTATACCGGGGTTTCCTCTCTACAGGAAAATACTTGACTTCTGAATATGCCTCATGAAAAGTTAATTGACTAAAGACTTGTTACTTCATCACTTTTAAATATAAACTAGTGTAAACCTTTATATTGCAGTAGTGTGGAGGTACCCTTGAAGTTCTGTGTGTTCAGAATGGATTAGGGATAATGGTGTGAAGTGTAGCCCTTAGTCATAGAAGTAATTCACAGGAGTTCTTTGGGGAAACAGCTGGATTTAGATTTTTAAACTAAACCAGTGTTGAAATCTTAGCATTTACACAGATGTGGAGGATCTGAAAGAACAAGAAATAGTTAGCAGAATAATGGCGGGACTTCTGGAGAACTACTATGAATTCTTTGAAAATGAAGAGGAAGATTTTTCATCTACTAATGATCTAAGCTCAATAACTGAGCAGGTAAGAACATTTTAAATGGCAATATATTATCACTTCAGTATTATCTGTTATACACATTTACGTTTATGAAAGATATGTTGAAATATAATTTTGTTTAGTATGCCTTTTGGCAGCTTCTTGCAATCTGACAAATCCTGGTATTTTCTTAACTGCGTTTTCTTACCATAGGTACGCTTGTGAAATTGTTGCTTTGTACGAAGTATAGCTATGCTGTGTAGAAAAACACGTAAGAACTAAACCAACAATGGTATCCTGCCCAACATAGATGCTGTTATGCTATATAAACAGTATGGCTTTTAAATTACCTTTTGAGGAATGGAGAACTGTTTTTTAAGCAAATGCAGAACCACGCTGTTGTTGGTCTTGGTCAATAATATTTCTAGGTGCGTCTTACAGAAACACGCAGGGTCTTGCACTCCACTGGATGAGGTTATCGGTGTTTCTTGAATGGTGTTGCTGATTTTAAGACTTAGAGATATCATCTTGATATTAGTGGGGAAAAGCATTGAAATTAGAGAAGCAAAGTTGGGTAGAATAGAAATAAGCTGGGCCCTGGTACTCAGCTGTCAGGATTGCCAGATCCACCTGTCGGTGTGAGTGATGGTGTACATTATCACTGTTCTGCCTTTCCTCACAACAAATTTAATTTTTGTGAAGTATAATACTATGTCATGTTGGGATAAATAGAGATGGATAGTTGTTAGGGAAGTGACAATGTGGTATTGTGGTACAACCGGCTTCTGTTGGCAAATGTTTTTAATTCTGACAAGTTGTGGTGAGATAGAGATATATATACACACACACGTGATAATGCATGGAGAAGTACTTTTGTATAATCAAAGCCAGGTTCGTGGATTATTAATAAAATCTTGGCTCAAACCGTTTCTCAGAAATATGGAAAATTATAAACTGATTTTTTTTTCATGTTCAGTTGGCTTAAGAAATGATGTATTTTCTTTAAGGAGGAATAATAGTAAATAACCAGCAGTTGCTAAGGAAGGTAACAAGAAATACTGATTTTTTTAAAGCTTAGTTATCTCACAAACCCCTCCTCTAGCAAGACAGGTAAGGCAAGTACTAGGGCAGCTGGGTGCTTCCTCTTCACTGCAGCAGACGCCTCACCCGTTCCCTTGGTGTGTGGTCTGCCAAGCGTGGGCAGCGAGTTCTGGATTGAGCAGCCTCTGCTCTGCTAGCAAAGTGCTGCAGCTTTGCGATGTTTGCTGTCTCTTCAGCGCTTTGCAGGAATACGTCCAGCGCTGAGAGCTGATACAGCCCAGCTGCCTGCAGGAAATGTTAAATAAAGCTGGGCTGTGACTTCCGCAGCCAGAGGCTGAGGACTGACTGTTGGCTCGGGTTGGGGCGACTGCTCTTTAAAGCGTATTTGGTTGGTCTGTGCTCTCCTGCTTTGAGATTACTGGCTTGACTGTGGGCCTGGTTTTAGCAAAAGGGTTTCCCACGCGTAATGGTGTGTGCGGTGTGTGGTTTTGGTTTTTCTCCTCTAAGTCTGAGGCCTGGCGGGGTGTCCCCGGAGTTCCGTGGTGTCTCCAGCAGATGTCCGCAGCGTGCTGCTGCCGCAGTCACAGAGGGGTGGTGTGAATCACAGCCTTGTCCTGCTTACCTGCTGTCTGGGTTTCGGCTGCCACCCGCCAGCGTGGGGAGGAGAATACTCCCCAGCCGCGAGTGAGTTCCCGCTGCGCCACCCCCTCCGACACCGGAACCCAGCATGACGGCACATGGTATGGAATACCGGGCTCTGTTTGGCCAGGTGGGGTCAGCCCCCACCCCCTGGCTGTGCCCCTTCCTGGAGTCCGGTGAAAATTAACCCTGTCCTGGCCAAACCCAGGACACCTGCCTGTGCTTGAGACATGGTTGCTTCTGAAAGAAAACGAAAGTGGCTGCACTGAATTGTCAGTTGGCTATATTGTTTTTCAATTGGCTATATTTTACTGCTTCAGTAAAAACATCTTCTATGTTTGGAAACAAAGAAACAGAAATAGACAAGGGGCTTCACAGAACCTTTTCAGTACTCTTACATACGCAGTTAGAAGTATTCATTCAGTATGTTAAAGTTTGGATTCTTAGACTTCTACATTGCCTTCCATAGAAGGGTTTGAAGCCACTTCCCACATATGAGTAAGGCTACTTAAGGAATAGAGAAGAATTATCCATCCCTGTTTTATATGTAGAGGAAGAAAGGTTTTGTGCCTTGTGACTTCAGTGTGGCTGGGATTTTGTTGTTTGTTGATCCTGCTTTTGTGTGTTTACTGCATCAGAGGTGCTTCTCTTCTCAGTTTTTGTTCAATATTTCAAAAGGGTTATGTTTTCTTTTTTTATGATGTGGAATGTGTGGTTTTACATAAAAGCAAGTATAATGTGCCTGTTCTTCTAAAATTGAACAATTCTAAGTATGTTCTTTTTATACCTCTCATGCTCTTTTAATTCCTTGGAACTCTGAAAAGAACTTTTCAAGCCATTAACTGCAAATAAATCTATTTTTTAGATAAATGATCTCTTGGAAGAGGAGGAAGATGTAAAGCTTGAGCAGTCTGAAGAAATTCCAGAAGATGGCACAGAGAAACCTGTTGAAAGGCCAGCTGTGGTGCATCTAGATATGACAGGGAGTCTTTCCGATTCTAGGAGCGTTACAGCATCAACAAGGTAACTTGTTTCTCCCTTGGAGTTTGGATTTAAAGTTTGGAGTATGGTCTATATTCTGAGAGAGCGAAGCTGTCAGGCTTTGAGGTGAGTGGTGGTGGCTACAAACCGAAGCTTTTGAAGTAGGTCTGATTCTTGTAGTAGTAAATATGGGATAAAATAACTGTTCCCAAATTCAGAAGAGAAATATCTGTAGAACTCTGGACTAACTATGGTGATTTATCCAGAGAAAGGGGAAGAGGGCATATTTTAGTGAAATTGCAAAGTGATATTTAAACAGCAAATTTTGTAGCAGAGGTATAAAAGGAATCTGAATATTGGTAGATGCAAACCCCTTCTGTGCCATCTTTCCACCACTCTTTCAGTGGGAAGTCCTAGGACTATTTCTTGGCACGTGGTAGCAGACAGAGATGTGTCCTTACATGACCCTTATTAATTTCTAAACCTGTGAAGATTTGTTTCTCCAAGTTCTTTTTATGCCCAGTTTGGTCAGGTGTTAAATGAGGGAAGTAATTCTTATTTCATTAGAGTGCAATATACTTCATAAATAATTGTAACAAAGACTCTGTGTATGTGATTACTTCCTGAAAATATATTAGAGAAAACACCAGGGATGAAGAGGAACTGTATATCACCTAAAGGACCGTGGAGAACAAGTGGGATAATACTGACAGTTACTGATTGTTAGGTTGGAATTTAGATGTTCCAGAAAGGCTTTTAGTAGGAGCAATGTGGAAGAAATTTTGAGCACTTTGAAGATGGCACTTTGTAAGGTTATATGTGAGACTTCGTAGAATGGGGTGCTTGCAAAAAAAAACTTGATTTGAGGGTCCAGAAAGTCTCCTTAATTTGAATTAAAATGAAGGCTCTGGATACCCTGTTTTGTGCAAGTTGACTTACTAATATATTTGTAAACATCTGAAGATCCTTCTTCCGTCAAGCTCAGTTGGTAGAGTTTAAATTATCTCAGAGGCTGATGCTTCTTTATTACATCAATGTAGGAGTGACATGACTGGCACCTATGCTCAAGTTGAGGTTTGATTTGTTAACTGCGTTTTAGAAAAAAGTTATCAGAAGAAAGCATGGAGCGCCAAGGTCTCGCGTTGTCCAAACAGGTCTGACAGCTGCTGAAGCTGGAGGGAGCTGTGTTCCCCGCTCAAGAGCCAGACTGTGTCGAGGGATCTGTTTGCCTGGGCTCTGCTGGCAGAGCTGTGAGCAAGTTTGGGAGTTGTCAAGCGTGATCCAGGCGGGAGTACTGGAGTGGGAGTCAGCTTTTAATTGAGACCAGTCCTCATGAAGGAGATTGCTTGTGTTTGAGAGCTTATTTGCACTTGGAAGTAATACACAGGTTTATGTTTTGCTTGCTTGTACTACACAGGTTTTCATTTTTGAGGCTGCTTTGCAGCATGTGCTAGGTATGGGTATTGCATGTAAGAACTTGTAGGGAGTGTGACTAAAAGCAGAAGAAATGCAGGGGAAATGCAGGGTAAGTTTAGTGCCGAGGACTGCCTAGTCTTAAGAATGTGGATTTCAGGTTGAAATCTTTTCAGCTGCTTGGCTGCACGCTTCCTTCTACTTCATTGCAGGAATTTCTAAAATATAAAATAATGAGAGAAACATAATTCTGTTTTGTAATTTAAATTATGTTTTAATTGTTAATTATCCTTCTCAGCAATATAGTTGGTTAATTTTAGTTTGACTTAAAAAATGCTGCAAGTGGAATTTCTACAAAAGTGCTTCTTCTTCCAATTAAAGTTTTAACACAATGTAACTATTCAGTTAGTTGCTTGTGAAATATGTAAGCTCAGCAGTAGTGACAAACTCAACATGTATGAGAGTTTAAATTTGATAGCCTGCAGAGAAAATAATTTTTATTCAATGTTTAGGGTTAATTAAAAATTAATAGACATTAATTATGGTTGGCATTTTACATAATTTGTGGGGAAGGAGAAGGAGTAGTGTTGTAGAAGAAGAAAGAATTTTGACTGTAAAACTAGAACAACTGCAGGAAGCATTTTAAAAAATAAATTAGAGAGTGAGAAAGTATGTGTTATTAGACTTTTAACCACTATAAAGACTGTAAACATTTTTCCAAACTTAAAGGCTTTCATAGTACATGTTTAATGGCCATTTTTTTGTTTTAGTTTCTTGATGTAAAAAAAAAAAATTATAATTGCAAATGTTAATGAAAGTTTATTGGGATGTTTGCCTTGACATAGGGCCTGCAGCAGCTTGTAAAGCAAAGAGGAGGAGAAGTAGATCTTAAACACAATTCTTGCAGTTCCTTAACCTGTAGTTTTGTTGCCTCGTTGCTGTTGTCAGAATCTTGCGAACAGAATAGCTGTATATTTTTGGTCACTGTGGAGAGGAGGAAAGGAGCACTGAGGTTGCATGTGTCACATGTTAAAGATAGGTTATCTTGATTCATACGATGGGATATATGACCTTCCTTCTAGTTACTTGAACTATAGCTTGCTCATAATGTTGCTCACTACCTTTTTTCTTTACTCATTCTGTTTGTACTTTCTGAAACACATGACCTTCGTGCACTGCATGGTGTTAATTTGACTTGGACTGAGAGAGAGATTTGGTGAGAACGTGCATAATCAGTAATGCAGTTTGATTTTGTGACGACTTGAAAATGGTATTTAAAATCACCCTGTTGAGAGATCTTTAAGCCCGTTACCCAGTCAGGGAGCATTTGTCGCACACGAGTTGACGTTGTGTACAGAAAGGAAACATCGTCTTCTCTGCTATCAGCAGCCTTCTCACCAGGGCTCTTTTGATTTTGCTGTCCTTCCTGACTTCCGGAGAAAAGCATTACGGTCTCAGCGTTGCAGCTGTCTTTGAAGATGTACTGTTGAGATAATCAGTTTTGAATTCTTCTCTGTCATTATTCCAAATTTTTCATCAGTGTGCTTTGCAAGCATTATTTGCTTTCCTTCTGCAGTTCATCTCAAATATTGTCAGTCAAAAGCCTAACATAAAAATTCTTAATACTTATTTGGGCGTTTCAAAATTATATGTGTAAAAATAGGAGATATGACAAGTGGTAATCTGTAAAGAGTTTGCTTTGTCTATATTAAATGCGGTGACAAGGGCGAGCTCCTCACTGCTTGTGTGGTATTTTGGTTACCCCTTTTTGTTTTGATTACCTCTGATCAGTGAGAGAGAGGCAATAATATTAACAGCAACAAAGTGAGACGAAATGCAGAGATAGTAAGGCTAACCAAATACAACAACTGCCTGAATTGCTAGAAAATATATTATTGTTTTAGTTTGGCACACTCTTTAACATTCAAAAGACTTGTCCCTACTTCCATCCTAGCAAATCTGTGAGCAACATGTTAGGAAAGCTTTCAAGTGTTGATTGGGCAGCTTATTGTCAGGAGTGACCTCATGTTGCAGTCTATTTCTATTTAGACTGCAGGCTTTAGTGCAGCACTCCAGAAGCGCCGGTGAATCCCAGCAAGCAGTATGCACAGCCAGCAGCCAACATCACGCTTTGCTGGTTTTCAAATGAAGCATTTTTACATGAAGTGCTCATTTGGGATAGCAAAAATAATCAGAATGGCCTGTAAAGTTCTGCTGCACAGGTAAATATGTGAAAATGTTGCTTTGATGTGATTGTGAACAAGACTTTTTTTAACTTTAAAAGCGTGTGAGATTAAATGGATGTTGGAGATAGCGTGAAATGAAATAATATTAGAACTGATTTTTTTTAATGAGAAGTAAGAATCTGTGTGCAGTCAGTAAATTACCAAGAAAAACTTTGAAATGTTTTACCTCTAGTCAATGTATTTTTCTATCTCAAGCTGTGTTTTTACTGGGACTTTTTATGGGTAGGGAGACAGTGCAAAGGGGATTCTCGGGAGTGGGTTAGCAGTATGAAACAAAGATGTTTACCTTGCTGTGTCTTGCTGTGTCATGCTGCGTTAAGGCTCTCAGTAGCAGTATAAATTACAGCTTTTAAAAAGTATCCTTGAACTGTGGTGCATCCATTCGGAAGTTGTGATGTATTTTCAGCTTAGAGCGATTGACACATTTCTTTCAAAAAGCGCTTAATTGCTAAAGTGATTAGTTGAAGACGTAAGATATTCTTTACGTAGTAAGAGGATTCTTCAGGCTTTACAGTACTGCTGATTTATGCACATCTCTTGCTGAGTACTTCTAATGCATTTGAAGGTGTTTAATAAAAGCGCTGGTGAACGATCTGATGCTGGAGGCTGAAGGTTACACAGCAAGATGGAAAATTTTCTTCTGAACCGTGTCTGAAATCTTCTGGATTCTTTGGAGATGAGTTTGATTCTCCCCCTTTGTGACACAGTTCCTTATTGTCTCAAGTGGTAGAATAAAAGGATTCCAGGTCATTGCCATTTCCTATAAATAGTATTTGTACTTGTGCCCTTGACTATTTTTTTTTCTCTTTTACCAATTAGTCCTAGGAGTGACTGTGTTTTAGTAGTAAGTTGATTTCAATATGTGCAATTATGTATCAGTACTTTTAGAAAGTAAGCATACCTTTTATAATGCAGCTTTTGTAGAGCTTACTGAAAATACTGAGATAGGATACCTAAAGCTACATTTTTTGTGTTTTGAAATCTTACTGTGTATTTCACTTGAGATCCGTGCTCATACTCCTCCTCTTGTTGAACTTAGTCACAGCTTCATGTCTGCATTTTATTTCAAGTATTGTCAAAACAAAGTGTGTTTGTCAGAGAGCTTACTTTGTACAAGCAGTAGGGCTATACTGAACTTCTGCGCACAGAGACATCAATGAAGTGTAAATAGCTTAAGTTGTGAACTTTTTCTTACCATTTCTTTGTTTGAAAGAAAAAAACCTAAATGCCGCTGTGTTCACAGTCGGTTGTTTGATCCAGCAGCTTTGAAATTAGTGGCTGCAAGATCTGGCTTCTACATGAGGCGTTCTCATTTTCCAAAGCTATGTGGCAATTTCTATTTTGAAATAGTAGTTCAGAGCTGCCTGTTCTGTCAAAGCATTTGAAATGGACCTGCTTCGTTTTTTCACCTATGCAAACAGACACACAAATGAGCTTAATTCAAAATCAAATTTCCATTAAAAAAAAAAGAGGAAAGAAAAGAAATTAAAAACTCCCGTGAGCACCTGTTTTGTTCAGCTGTTATGTGGTGGTGGATAAATACAGTGCACTTTGCTGTTGGCCCAGTACAAGTTGTCTAAGGCAAAAGGGCATAATTATTTTTAAAGAAATACTTTAACCACTTTCCTTATCAGCTAGTGTTTAATTGACAGTCCTTTATTGCTTGTGTTTCATCTACTTAGAGGAAGAAAAAATAGAAAGACGGCTTGAGGTGGTCCGATTATCTTACCTCTCTGGTGGTGGAACTACTAATAAATTTGGTATGGTCTAACCAAGATATTCCTTGCTGTATTAAAACTGTTCTTGGGTAAGCAGAGAGACTGTCTAGGTTTTTTAATGAAAGCAAGGCTAATACCAGTCAAAACTATCTCGCAGAGGTAGTACCTGTTCTTCACTGGAGTGGCAAGCTCCCTCATATTTCAGAGTTTACTTTATGCATTCATGAAAATAATATTGAAGATCAACTTTGGCTGCCAGCGGTGTTGTTGCATGGTAAAGAGTAGACGAAAATATTGTTTTTCAGCTTGTTGAGCTTAGTTACTTAAAAAAGGAAGAAAAAGCATTTGTTTACCTTCTTCCCCACCGTCTAGTTGAAATCGAGTTAGTACTTTTTTTTTCTGAATAATATATGTAAGTTGCAACTCCTTGCCACTTACAGTAGAGTTTTCTTCTTTTATTTCATTCTTATCATATTTACTGTCACTTTGTCTAAAATTTAAGTATTCTGTGTATAATGACAGAATTTTGATCACAGTAACGGAAATTTGTAGAGGGACCACGTACACAGGAATTAACTTACCTGTGTTAGTTAACACTGATTTCCACCCTTCCACCCCCCCAGCAGTTTAACTTTCTAGGCTGAAGTGGCTTGCGCTGGGAGATTTCCGAATGCTTTACAGATGGCTGGCTGGTGTCTCCAGACCTCTGGAAGGTGTCTGCCTTGCACCTGAACTGCAGCTGTCTTTGGAGAGCGCTGCAGGTCTGTCGGACCTTGCAGAATAGAGTTGTGCAACAGTCTGATGGGCAGGGAGGAACCTCTGTGAATTGCATCTATGGAGGAATTTGCTTTAGGCAGCAAGGTTAAAATCTGCATTCTTAAGCAAAGTGTCAGGAAATCTTTGCAGAAAGTGATTAGTATTTCCCATGGGAAAGACCGTGCATCTGAGAGCTTATAGCTGTGTAATATACTGAGTATTGGCTCTTGAGAGAGAAATCTGCATTGCTACTTCTACAACTTTCTGTCTTACGATGGCATTCTTTAAGATTTCTTCATCTAAATAATACAGGGGCTGCAAAGCAGTGTTTTCTTTACATATTTATTCTACTTTTATTAGCCGCATTACATGCAGTCCTTAAATATTTCTAAGTTGCTTTCTGTTGACTTCAAGACTTTTTAGTGTGATAAGTTTTTGCATTACGTTAACTTATTTCTTCTTCATTGCAGTGCTCATATCTCTCCCATAAGTATCTTGCCAGCCTCTGCAGAGTAAGTATAATGAAAATATGATTGAATTGTGCTGTTACTAGAATATGCATAGAAAATATGTCATCTTTCAAGTAAAAGCAATGCAGTAGGTTTGATAATTACAGTTATGAATCAAGATACTCTAGTGTGAAGTATTTCACTTACAGCATTTAACGCTAATGCAGGAAAAACCTAATGTATGCCAGTTGTTGACTGCAGAGGCACGAGAGCGCAGTGTGGTGTAATCTAGATTCCAAAACACTTTGGTGTTACACTTAGATACATCATAGGTGTTTGACTTCAAAATTATGATAGCATTCACCCTGCATTTTTAGCACCACTTCTAATCGTTAATATTGAGTACAGTTCAGTGGAACTGCGTATACAAATATGCAAGAAAAATAAATGCACATTTCCAGAGTAAAAAATTAGGCAAAATAGTTGTAAGATTCTTACAAGAGGATGTTTTTATAGGCCTAATCACTTATTTTGGATGAGCTGGCTAAGAAGCACTCAACAGAGTAGTCTGTGTTTAAAGAATGCTGTTCTTTTCTTGATGTATCTTTGGGTATGTCCTGTGTCCTTCATCAGGTGCTTGCTCATTTCTCTGCTGTTTGTTGGCTCTTGCCTTTTAAGATTACAGCTCCACTGCAGAGGGGTTACAGCCAACTGTGCAGCAGTGGTACCTGCTCCAGGATTGACTCTGACCTTTTTGATTTTACTGTCACATTAATATATTAGGCTTTCTTAAGTTTTTTCTGTATAGTTATTTAAAATAAAAAGTCAGTCATTGTAATGTGTTGATTACTCTTAAAATAGATTTCATAATACTTTATGTAAATTTTATGAAATAAGAGATAAAGATAAATAAAATAAAAGATGCAATAATTTCCGCTGCCTTTTTGGAAAAGTCAGTCTCTCTTTGCCTTGAAGTACGTGTTATCAAAGATTCCTGTTGTGTGTGAAGTTTGTTATCTCTGCCTTTCTGCATAGTTGATCAATGCAAAAGGAGAGTTCTTAATATGAATTTTCTGTCTTTTTCCCTTTTAGCATTTTAGAAAGAACAATCAGAGCAGCTGTGGAACAGCACCTTTTCGACCTGCAGAGCAGCTTAGATAATGATCTTAAACATATACAGCAACACAGACTGGGCTGTAACAGTAAAGCACAAAATCCCAGTGGGGATGAGGAAGGATCTAACAACCAGTAAGACACTTTTTGTATCTGTAATGAATTCCATAGGATCATGTATCTTAACGCTTCCAAAACAAACTACCCCAGTCCCCCACCTCAACCCAAAGCAAGGGTTATGGCTTTTGCTATTAACTTCAGCTTCTCTCATGTGCTAAACTGAATCAACTTCCATCAGTTGCCAGCTGTCTACAGCCCTTGAAGCAAATCTTTTAAGTTGATCTTATAGCTAAAAATGTTGTGAAGTATAACTGCTTCACTGCTGAATTCTGTGCAACAGCACAAGAACTTAAATTTACCCCAGTGCTTACATTCTTATCTCTCTGATGTTAAGTATGACACAGTTTTACCATACGAAAGCCGTTCTAGGTGCTGTTTCAGTTTCTTCACCTTGTCTTTCCATGTCAACATAGCTATTTTACTGCTCTGGCTGCCAGTGTCAACAAAACAGCTAAAAATGGATAGAATGAGCACTGTGAGTTTATTTGCATAGAGTGTCAGCCTCATTTGATCAGCTTTTTATTTTTATGATAAATCTTGCCAGGTTATGGGTGTAGCAATTTCCATGGCAGTGTTGAGAAGTTGGTACATTTTGGTGCTTTATTAAAAATAAACAGTCATGATTAACACCCAGACTCAAAAAATGTGTGGTTAAGTAGGACTTCAGTACCTAAATTCCTTTGTTGCTCACAGCCTGAAATGCATGAACTATTCAGAGATTCGAATACTGTCTTCTAAATTGTTCAGTCTTTACTGTTTTTACAAGTCTTACCTGTGACAAGAGGTCAGGCTAAAGTTAGCAGTTGATCATAAAAGTAATAATCATTGCTGGTAATGATCAATTAAGACTGAGTTTTAGTGTTAGAGATGTAATGTTTGAAGTAATTTATAAGTAAGCAGGTAATTGCCTGGAAGACCTGTTGTAGCCCAGTTCCTTCGGTTACAGCAGAAGCGCTTTAAAGGCGGGCTGACTTCACAGAAGGAGAAGCTAAATGTACCATCGCTGCAGGTTGGAAACCAATATACTCTTCTGGCACAGTGACTATTTCAAATGCTTCTGGTGATCGTTCCACTGTGGATTAACCGTAAGAGAAGATACATGATAGCATTCTTGAAAGAGGTCATCTGGGTCCTTTAAAGCAGTGCCACGAGCAGACTATGCACAAGGCAAATGCACAGTTAAATGGATAACTGAAAATTGCAGTGATCCAGTGCAGATTTCTTAGAACTAACTTAAAATAATTGCTGGAATTAAGAAGAGAAAGTTAAAGTGTTAAATTCCAAACCATCCTGTTTGGATCTGTATATCCGATAGAGGAGGAGCATTTTTAAAAGTTCTGAATTCTAGGTAAGCAAGGAGAAGGAAGACAAGGAAGTCAAAGGCTTGTGATGAATTAGAGAATCATTTGGTAACAGGGATGGTGGCAAGTAAGGAATATATGAACATAAGTACAGAAGTTAGTTTTAATCTGGTTGTGCTGTTACAAGCCTTAAGTTGAACTCTAGGAAGATTAAATGTTAGAAATAATGGGACTTCTTACTGAGGGGAACATCGTGATACTAGCTATAAACTAGCTGGCTTCAATATTGAGAGCAGTGTAGCCACGGCTACTTCATTGAGTTGTGGTACTTCAGTTGTCGTTGCTTCTGGCTGTTGGCACTTCTGTTCCTGGTTCAACATAGTAGGTGGGGGATGTTCACCTGACCCTTAATACAAGAATCAAATAAATACATTTTGATATATCTATCATGTACTGTGGTAGGAAACCTCAGAAGTATATATAAAGTACATAAATAATTAGATTTGCCTACAGGTGACTGAAATTACAGATACTACCAGTATCTTTGGTCAGAATAATTTGGGGGGGAGAAGGCGAACCAAAACCCTGAGGTTTGATACTGTTTGTGAAAAAAATGCAGCGTGCTTTTTCTTTTAAACGTGGAACAACAGGTTGCTAAAGTCTTTCTGTTCTTATCTTTAGGAGTGATGTTATTGAAGATAATGACACTGGCAGCAGTGAGAACACAGGAGACTGCTCTGAAGTATTGGTTTGCACTGATTTAGACAGTGAAGCTATGAAACATGATACTGTAACTGAGGAAGAAGAAAGCCTTCAGGTGAGAGGAAGAGCCTCCCGTATATGAAAATCATGAATTGCTGTGACTTTAGTGAAGTGCTTTAGAGATGTGAGTTTTCCTGATAGCTCTGGTGTAGCCTTACATGGTACTGTTGCTCTGTGCAGTTAATTGCCTTCTCAGCTGTGCACATTCCATAGACATGCACAGAGAAATTTTTGTGTACTTTGGTGCAACTTGTTTGGACCCTGACTAATGTTTTTCTGTTGGTCTTTCACAGGTACCAGCCCTTTCTTCTGCTCAGGTAAGTCAATGAATCAGCAAGCATAGCACCGTTAGAATAGCGTCTGCGTTAGGAGAGGCTTCCTGAGGAGCAGAAGATGTAGAGCGGTGGTTGTAGCGTAGCCCACAGTTGGTCACACCTTTTGCTGTGTCAGGAAAGGGTAGAAGTAGCAGTCACCTTGAGACTCTGCAGCCTCTTGACTATGCTTGTGCTAGGAAGATGTGGTTTTGTAATTAGTTAATTACAGCCTTTTCTTACTGTTTCCGGTTTGTTCTGTGGTAGGCGTAGATGTCCTGTTCTGTTCAACAGATCTTCATCTCCTTTCTGGTTGAAAGAGCTCATGTTACCTCCTCTTGGACCTCTTTGCTTAGATACTTCACTTATGCTGTGGTGATAGCTTGTGTCCCTCCATGCTGATGTGTACACTTAGAATTCTTACACTTGAGGTGTTCATCAAAAGAAAGATGAAAGAAAACTAGACTTGTGACCTCTTGAAGAGGTTCAACACTTAATATTGTCATGTTGAATAGTATCAGGATTGACCATTTGCGTTCCAAAGCACAAAAACCTGTTGAGTGCTGCATGAGCACACATTAGGATGTGATGCTAACATGCTTGTAAAAACAAAATACTTAGTTGTGTTTTTTAAAAACTGTTTTGCACAGAAAATACAATGTTAATGATGCTTGAAGTTGCTCTTAAAGTTCAGAAAGCAACTGACAATGTGAACAACAAACCACAGGATAATCAGGTGTCATAGATTTAGTTTTGGCTTTGCTTTTGTATATTATGCTTGAACTGAACAGCTTTGTGTCAATGAAAGAAGCAATACGGTTTGAATGGAAGCCCTGTATTGTAGCAACTGTAAACGTTGCAATAATTGTTTGCCCTATCCAAGGAACATGCCTCAGCTTTGCTTTGAGCTGCAAATTATTAGATCTTCACGTACAATCAAATGGGAAGGTTTGTAGTATGCATGGCCTGAATTTGTAATGATGGCCTGAACTGTACCAGCACTTTTATTAGCAAGCAGACATCGGTCTCTCGTTTGGGGTATCTTTATGTGTTCAAGGAATGCTGTAAAATATGTGCTGACAAAAATGAAATCAAGTATAACAGTAATATGCAAGAGAATGTAGTTTCTGCTACTCTGTATGAAATAGCACGTATGCAGCTGTCAAATAAGCACTTTTAATGAAAAATTCAAATCTCTAGTTCCTTATTTATTTGGCAAAACTTTTGTTGTCATAAATCTAAATGATGAATTCTGTGGGTAGAGAGATTTGCTATACGCGTGTAGAGAACTACTTCTACAGTGGTTTTTAGCTTCTTGCCTGTGAGTCCATAAATCTTTTCTGAGAGTTTCCCAAAAGATAACTAGATAAGCAAAGCTGCTGTTACTAGACTTAAATTAACTAGAAGAATCTAATGGTTCTGTGAACTTGAAAAGATAGAAATGGATGCCTTAGCATAGTGAAACTGTGAGTCTTGTTCTGGAATCTATGTTTTTATTAAACAAAATGTTGCTGTAGCGCTTTTCACTGTTGTAGTGTATTCTTCTCCTAGCCTTCTGCTTGCTTTCATGGATCCTAAATGACTCTTAAATCCCTTAACAAGCCAAATTTTTCAGTTGTTCCAGCTAAACTAGCATATTGGTTTAGAATCCCATTCTGTTAAATTAAAATTTCATAGAATGTATTGATTGTGCAGGTTCTTTCCTGATGCATTAGTGCCAAATCTTGTCATAAAAAAATTACTAGATTCTGACCCTGTCGGGCAAAATTCGTGAAACATGGTGTTGCAATTAGATGATGGTTTATCCAACTCACGTGAACACTATGTTTGCAAGAGCTCTGTTTGAAGTACAGCGTAGAGTTGCTTATTTCTGCTGTCAGTCTTTTTTTGACTGGCTATTGTAAGTCTTCCTTTATTTGTAGTATTTGTTTTAGGTTTTCAGTCTTTTGACAATGAAAACCTTCAAAAGCAGTAGAGTGAGTTTCTCATATTAACTCCTAACTCTTTACTTCCTCCTGACTTCCTCGATAAAATACATGCTGAGCTTTAGAAATCAAAACTCAGAAAATACAAATGTAGATGGAGAAATAAAAATTGCAAATTGTTGGCTGTTCAGTGCATTTTAAGCAGTTTCAGTGGTTTCAAAGAACAGCTGAAAAATGTGAATTGCACTTCTTACGAAGTGTGTGTACTTTGGAGTTCAAAGTATCTCACGCTGCTAAGAACATAAAAGGCGAACACGATGCTTGGGAGTGCGTGCACTTTTATTGTCATACCTGATGTCACTCTTGGCCTTTTTTGCTTTTTGAGACATTTTTGTCCATTGGTGTCAGTGGCAAGGGGCATTCTGGGGGGAAGTTGTGTTTTCTGCAATGTTAGTTTCTACCTTCTTGTTATTGCACCATTTCAGATGTTGTTGGAGAGTTGTGTCTTGCAGGGAGATGTTGAAGGGAAACGTTCAAGGGAAATACACTGATTCTTCGGCATGAAGGGAGTTTGAGAGGGGCGTGTAGGGTTGTAGGAAACGAAGGATGTGCGTGCGGGCTCTCCTTTGGGTCTGAAATGGAAACAGAAGCAGCTGTTTCCACAACAACAATAGGTGTGACTATGTGAGACTGGCACAGCTCATCTCCAGGGTGGAAATTATCTGCTGGAGTATGGCAGATGCACTGTAATTAAAAATTGTTTCCCCAAATTGGAATTTGACTTGAGGACTGAAATAATGACAACAGAATAATGGAGTTTTTTCTGATAAGGGTGGATATTACTGTCAGCAGTGTAAAACTGGTGACTGTTACATATATTTGAACTCTCCAGGTAACTTTATTTTATGTTCAGACAATTTAAAGATCATTTGTGAGAACTTCTTAAAGTCTGAAACCAAATGTAATCTGTTATTTTAAAATGACATATCTTATATTTCAAATTTGTTATATTTTTCCAAATGAGACACTTTTGGAAGAAAGCAAGTACTGGGCTTTGGTGTAAATACTTAAAGTAGTCAGTCTTCCTGCGCCGACTTTCAGTGAACAAAATGGTGACATGTATTCATCTGAACTTGTTTTGGGAGGTGGTGTCATAGAAATGCCAACATTTCTTCATCCCTTCTAGCTCTGTTGCTGCTTTATTTAGTAACAGGGATTAGCAGCTCCTTTTAGAAAGTCTGTCAGACTGGTTTCGTTTCAGTTATGCTGAGCACAAGTCTACATCCAACTCAGTTGTTTTCGAGACTAGGATATATGTACTGCCATAATTTTAGTCACCCGAAGCTTTATGCTGTGACTGACAATTTTCAGTAGAACTATTGGTGTTAATATTTGAAAGAACCAATAAGAAATGGTTTGTTTGAAGATGGAAAGTCGTTGTCTGTCTTCTAGTGATCAAAGCACTAGAAGACCGACCTTACTTTAGATGTAAAATATTGCATGGTTAAAAAGTATGATTTCCACCTCCACGTAAGAAGCTGTGCTTCTAGTTCGTGAGGTCAGAGATGGTGACAGAAATGTGTTCAGCTGAGAATGCGATTCCCAAATCTTTCTAAACATACTTTTTGCCAACAGACTGCAGATGTATTACTGAAACCATGTGATGAAGATGCAGATGTTGATGGAGAAAATAATAGTGAAAGGTGTGTATTTTTTAGTCACTGACGTGGCAGAATGTGTAACTTCACTTTTGAAATGCAAGTGTATCAAACCGTGACTGGTGACAACACAGCATAATGTGAGGGAGGTGAAACTGAACATGTGACTTCACAGGTGAGAACAGAGAGGATAGGATGGAGTTACCTTTTTATGACGGTGGTGTCAAAGGCATGGAACTTTATACACTTAAAAGAAGAAATAAGTACAAGCCTATATGATGTAATCGTGGCTTTTTGTGAACAACCCTGTGTTCTGGGTAAGGGAAATAGAAGAAGGAAAAAGTTACTTTCTTTAAAATATTTTGGCACATTTTATTGGTCTCAATGATTGAAGAATTAATGCTAGTAATAGTGACTAGCCAGAAAACTTATAAGTTCATTTGCAGTTTGAGTTCAGTACTGATTGACATTTCAGTTTGAGTTTAATTGAGTTTTAAAATATTTACTCCCAGTTTGAGAATAAAGGTCTAAGCTGTTTTTATTTCCAGCTTGGTTCAAGTCCAGTTGTTTACATGCTTCACATTGAAATTCTGTGTGAAGAACAAAGGGGGAGGAAGCAATGTAACTTTGGCTCCCCAGAGTTTTAATTATCACTTTAAGGAAATACATTACATATCTGCTCAAACTGGACTAGGATATTTAAGAATAAAATGTAAAGGGACTGTATAGTATTTACTGTCCATTAAGAACTTGTGTTTGAAATGATAACCTGGTCTGTGTTGTCTTCTTAGGCAAAATAGTATATTGCTTGATGGCAGTGACAGAATATCTTCAGAGATGTTTCTGGTAAGATTATGATTTCATTTATATACAGATACACAGCATCTTAATATCTGTATGAAATAAACACGATAAATTTAGCTTTTAACATCTTATGTTGGTTGGCCTGCTGCAAGATTTGCAATGCCTCTGTTAGAGATCTCTTCATCTCTCTTCACAGAAACTTCTGGCAGCAGAGCAAGCTTATACTTGTGCATCTCGTGTAAGGGATGTTTTGTAATGTAAATGATTGACTACTATTAAGGGTAGAGGGGAAGATTCTTTATAATTTCTTGAGTTAAGAAAGAGGAATCCCCCCCCCTCCCCAAATTTCCACAAGTGCTGACATTGATTGGGTGCCTGATTTCCAGTTGCTAAATAATAATTAATATGTTCTGTTATGCTATTTAAATACAGGATTCAAGCAGCAAGACTTGTGATCTTAATGCAAATACGGATTCGGAGGTGTCGGAGTATGGCAACATTAATGTTTCTGAGGAAGCTCTGGGTGTCCAAATACCACGTCTAGATTTGAAGAATGTATCTGATGGTGACAAATGGGAAGGTAATTTTCACCCTTTAGCTCACAATATAGTTAGCTAGTAATGATAAATAGAACAATGAGCAAAGTAGAAGCAGCAGACAACTTATGCTTTTTCTCTCTAGTTTGGTCTGAATAATACGTTCCCATACACATGGTAAGATGGACCGAGTCATGACATAGGTCCCATCTTGTTTCAGAACAATCTGCAACTTAATTAAGGACCTTAAAAAAAAAACGTAAAGGAAAAATAGTCAAAGGAGCAACTAAAGAAAGCAAAAAAAGCCTAAGTTTCATACTAGAGGGTTTTTTTGTGTTTGCTGGTTTTAGGTGTGTGTTTGTTTGTTTGTTTTGGGTTTGTTTGTGGTTTTGTTTTTTTTTTTTTAAAGTGACTTATGGTTCCCAGGACTCTGAGTCTCTCATTGAAGTCCTTAAAAGCGCTTTCTCTGATTATGTCGTGTAGTTATTTTCTCCCTCGTGTAAGCTACTGAAGTTCTAATAATAGCTGAATTAACTTAAAATGACTGAACTACTAAACACAGCAATGTATATTTAATTTATTCTGAAAAATCTGTTGGTGTTTTTGTGTTAAACATCAGAAGTGTCAGATGTTGATTTCCCTGTCATTGGACAACTTGAAATAGTTCTGAATTTTCACAGAAGAGTCAAAGTTACAGATGGGTATTATTTCTGTGCCCCTTGCCCTCTGTTGTTTGGATTTTAGGAAAAGCAAAATGTTTGAATCATAGTTTTCTCTCAGGCAGAATTCCTAATGCCGTGACCTTTCATCTTCATGGCCTTCCAGATTTAGCAAGCCCCGAGCGTGTGACTTTAAGTTTTATTGCTCAAATGTCTGGTAATAACTGCTTAGACTGTTGTTTTCCTGGTGTGAGAACATAACCCCTTTGGAACCAGAGCAAAACACTCTTGTCAGTATCTTCTTTCAAAGTACTTATCTTTTTGTGTTCCGTATATCCCGTTTCCTCTGCCTAGTGTTGATACTCTGAATCGTCACACCTTAAGAAATGCAAGTGATATAGTTTGCTAAAATACTGTCACCACAGTCCACATGTTTCCAATCTTTAAATCTTTCAAATACGACTTGGTAGGTACAGTACAGATTTACTACGCAGCGACGAGGTTCTAACTTCCAACAGGCTGTTCCAGTGACAGCTTTTCTTTGAGTTGCCTCCAGGTGCCATGGTCAAATGTTAGTAAGACACTGGTCACAGGGAATGACTGCACCTAATTTCTGGTTGCTGTGCTGTAAATATTAGAATTAGTGAAGTGCACCTGGAATGTGTGTAGTTCAGCAGTGCAGCATATACTTGTAGCATGTCAGCACATAAAACTTTGTCCTGAAGCTCAAATGGTGATAACTTATTGTTAATTGGTCACCGGTGTTGACTGTTTTCCAAATTAATGGCCTGCATTATTCCACCCTTCCTGTTTAACCCTTTTACAAATGGTGTGGTTTGCAATTTATGATGGCTTTCTTATATTTGTAAAATATTTGCTGGTTGGCCTTCTTGAGCCCTAGCAAACTATACATTTAGAGTATGAGTATGTCATATCATATAGAAGTCAATTTGCATGCATCCGAAGACACTGAGTCCAGATTTTCTTTCTTGTTGACCAAATTAATAACTTTCGATAAAGTTAGGAAAAAAAAAATCCTCCTTGTGTTCTAACTGGTTTATGTACATTAATTGCTTACTTGCACATTACATTTTGTTGCATTCTCTATTTGGGTTAATCTGGTTTAAGACGTATTCTCAGAAGGTTTGTTGCTTCCATTTTCATTATTTCCTTAAATCTCCTCATAAGAGTTGCTTTGATTTTACTTGCCCAAATAGATTTATGTCACTTACTTTGAAAAGAAAGTATCATATCTGTATATGAATTTATATCACAACCTTCTTGGTAGTAAAATCATGGTATTGCAGGAGGTGTTATTTCATTGCAAAGTATTTTGACTTTAGCCATTCTTCAGTCCTGTTCGGAATGGTTATTAGGATCTCGGCCTTCCAAGCCACTGCAAGTCTTCGTGGCGTTCTGTTGAAGTAGGTTGGCTTTGTAAAGAAATCTATACTAGTCCAAATCTTGTTAGAAGATTTGGGCTGTTAAAGCCTATGGAAAACTTAAAGGCCTGTAACCAACAGAGTTCTTGAAAAGAAACATCAAATGCTTGCTGGCTTAAGGCAAAAATGTAGATCAGTTAATCTGTATTTCTGAGTGTTTTTTCTGCATTTGTCCTGCTTTTTGGAAATCACCACCATCCCTATTACATAAGAGCTGTGAGCAAAAATATATTTCAAACTTGTCTTTTGTTAAAATGAGGATGCATGAGACTCTTACAATAAGTCTTTACTATTCCTGTGTCAGTTCTTTGTAAACCTTTTCAGTAAAAAGGTCAAATTCGCCAAGGACTGAGCATCCTTACCTGCCATTGGAATTGCTTGGAAGCTGAGAGTGCTCAGGGCCTGGCCCAAAAGATGGGATGTGTTTCCCTGGTACTGTATCTTCCTGCTTTACATGTTATGTATGGTTTGTTCTGACTGTGCTGTGTGTTCACTTTAGTATTTTTGCCATTCTTTTTCATTTTATTAGCGCCATGCCCTATCACTTTTCCCCTCATTGATTTCAAAACAATGCATCTGCAGAGAGAAGGGGAGGGTAAGTATGGTTCGCCATACGTTCAGTTATCTGCCTTTTGATAGTTTATGGTTTGCTTTCTAACTAACCCTTCACCTGCTGTCCCTTATATCTTGGGAATGTTCTGATCTGCAGTTTTTTTGTTTACTTTTTTCCTAAAAGGTCCCCATCTTCTGTCTTGTACTGTGTAAACAGGCAAGATCACAGCTTAACAAGAAAACAAAAAATCCCAATAATACTTAGTAAATGTACAGTGGAAAGCAGGTATAAGGGTTATTTTTATTTTAAAGATTGTGGGTTTTATTGTTGTTCTGCACACTTTGAACCCAGTTTTCAAATTTCCTATTTGAGCTGGAAAATATGGGCAGCTCTCTGAAAGGAAAAGGCGGGGGTGGGATTTTAAATTAAAGTGTTTGGAAGGCCATATCAGCTTTTTGTTAGACAGATAGAAAACCATACCTGAGAATTGTAAGGGATGTTAGCAACTAACTTTTTATAGAGATTTTAAAAAAATTGATTGTTTTGGAATCCCCTGCCTAAGAGATATCACCTTCCACAAATTAAGAAATCTCTTTTTCTCAGTGGTGTCAAGATGAATTTAAACTTAAAAGCCCAACAACACTCCTTTAAAAAGACTTAAGCAAACAGGTATTGTACCGAAAGAGGTATTGTCAGGCTTACCTTCTTCAAAAACAAGAGGACAATCTTTCAAAGTACATGCGTAAGATATAAAAATTAATTTCCACAGCAAAATATTGCAATGGACAATAAGTACATTCTTCCAACTTCGGATTTCTTAGAAGTAAATAAGGCTCTCTTACACTGTTGAACTGTTCAGAAATGCATACTCCCAAGATACACTTTGAAAAAGGGATCCTAGTGTGCATACTTCATTTCAGTACCTCTTTCTTTTAATTGTTATATGACAGAATTTGTAGCTTTCTGATGTATTTCAATGGTTTTATTCACTTCGTGTATGACACCACATCCTTTATAGCATACATGACTAAGCATTGGGTACACATTTTTGTTTCCTTTTGACTCTTGTTTATAATTCTGTTAACAGAAAAGTACCATTTCGTGTCCCTCTTATCTTCTAGATCCGTTTCCTGCTTTCAAATCTTGGCAGGAGGACAGTGAATCTGGAGAAGCTCAGCTTTCCCCGCAGGCTGGAAGGATGACAAATCATCCATTGGAAGAGGACTGTCATCCGATATTGTCGCATCGTAGTCTGGATTTTGGGCAAAGCCAACGTTTCTTACATGATCCAGAAACATTAGATTCTTCATCCAAAGCACTTTCTTTTGTTAGGTATGTATTTTAATGCACTTTGGTGGGTCTTAGGGCAGGAGATGTTACTGTCAATATGAAAATACAGCTGTTTAACAACCTCCTGGGTTTTCACAATATGAATTAATTGAAGACCAAGGCCAAATGTAGCATTGTATGGCTATTTGGCTGTTCTGCCAGCCCAGGAACTGCCGTAGTGAGTCAGACCAGAGATTCATCTGGGATGGTATCGTATGTCTCAACGTGAAAGAGTATAAAAATAGGGCAAGCTTGCACAGATTTCCCTGGCGTTTGGTCAGGGCTTCTGACAACCTGCTGTGATGGCACTTCCTGGGCTGACGATGGTATTTATATCCTTTGTTTACCAGTCTTTACTGGACTGCTGGTCTAGGATTTTATGTAAGTTGATGGTGGTTTGTGGTTTTTTTTTTTGGCAGCATGAATATCTATTTTCATGTTGCATAATTTTGGATTTGTTTTGCATAGCACGTTGTCCACTCCCAGTAAAGAGAGCCAGGTTGTACAAACCATTGCAGCGGAGTTGCGCAGTATTGGTCTGGACAGGTTCTTCATTTGAGCCATAGAAAGTCTTCATTCAGAAGGGATACAGGAAGGTATCAGCTGCTAGAGGGAGAGGCGCAGGAAAGGAGTACAGCGAAGACGTGGGGTTCTTAATGCAAGTCTTCTGGAGATTTAGAGGATTGAGACCGTTTAACCCAGTGTATGAAGGCAGAGTTGTAACTAACAAGGTGCCAGTTACTTGTGTGACGCTGGGGAGTGTGACCCTCCGCAACTGTGAACAACCTGTGACCTGTACTGTCTACTACTGTTACTGTGAGAGGGAATTTAAGAAGAATTACCATGCTTTCTAGGGAAGAAATTGCCTCCTAAAAATGAGAAAATCTGGAACAGGAAAAACCGAGTTCAGAGTCTTCAATTCTCTGTCTGACACAGACTTACTGATGCAAAAAGACACTTGCCTGAGTTTTCTCTAGTTAGCTGCAGAAGATAGTTGGCAAGCACTGTTAAACTGATGCAGAAGACTGACCTGCAGAGAAGTGCTGATTGTAATAGCTGTTCTCCTCATTCTGAAACTAATAAGGATCTACACTAGTAGATTATTAGATTAGTGTTTCTAATATCTTGAACTACATAGATGTCACTAGCTGTGCTGAGAGACCTTTTAGGCACCTTGTGTAGTAAGTGTACTAGAAAATTCTCACGGTCAGTTTTGAAATAAAAAGGCTTTTCACAAGCAGCAAATGGCAAGGAACTGAACGAGTGCAAAAGATGATTTCAAAACAGAATCACACTCTCTGGAAATATACTGGTAAAGCCAAGAGATGTAGGTATTTTTTAGAGAAGTATCTAATAACTTGCCGAAGACAGTTACGCGGAGCTGTCTAATTACCAAGGATTGTTCATTGGTTACTTCTAGCCTAGGCTTTATTCTGTGCCCTATACTTCAAGAAATACAGAGTATCTGGTAGCTTGGGTAAGTAGCCTAGACACCAGAAAGATCTGAACTGTTTTAATGACAATGTAATTAATGGTACTTTTGTTTATTACACTTGAATTTCAAAGGCTGTTTTTCTGGTAGGGATGTTACTGAAATTAGAGAGGAAAAAGTAACACACACAAAAAATGACGTTTTGAAGGCAGCAGATCAAAGCATTTTGATTCAGTAAGTAAATAGCTCTGACTGAAATCCTGAAAAGAATGGATTATGAAGTGGAGAAAAAAGATGAAATTAGTCATTTGTTACTCAAATAGAGAAGTTGTTTGCACTTGTTTAATTATTTAAATGACATTTAAAAAATGTTTTTAATACAGAACACGAAGAGCATCCTTTAGCTCAAAAGATGACAAAAGGGAAGACAAGACACCTTATCAGCTTGTCAAGAAGTTACAGAAAAAAATAAAGCAATTTGAGGAACAGTTTGAAAAAGAGAAGAACAGTAAGGTAAACTGCTACTTCTGCTTTTACTCAGGATAAAGGAGTGCATGGTAGAGCTAGGTTACTGCTTGTAGTTCATCACTGAATAACTGTGGTTTCACAAGGGAAAACAACTTTGTTACACACTGCTGTCTACAAAAGTGAATGGTGCAGCAGCAATACTAGAAAATGTGCCATCATGCCTGAGCCCAAGGAAGGGCCAACGTGTGTGGTGAGACTGAGGGGATATCAGATCAGATATGTGGAGAGACAGAAGCATCTTGCCGCTCTCTGGTTCAGCTTCTGATGTCTCGTTTCAAGTTGATTTTCACAAATGTTGCCACTGAGATCTGATCTGGCGCTGAGTGGCACCCATGTTACCAGTCAGAATGGCTGTCATAAATATAACCAGATTTTGAAAGAAGCATTTATAAACAAGATCTAGTGTGTTTGTTTCCATAAAATGTGGTTTGTTTGTATTGCTTTTCAGCCCTCCTATAGTGATATTGCAGCCAATCCAAAAGTTTTAAAATGGATGACTGAACTTACCAAATTGAGAAAGCAAATAAAAGGTAAGGGATGCTACAGTTTCTGGGTTTCTACAAACACAGATTATCTATGTGACTGAAATGGCTAAGTCATTCAGTAAAATTGTCCACAGGACAATAAAAATGTTTCACTTCTAGATTCTGAACTGTTAAAAAATGGAATTATTCTTGTGGCTTGGTTTTTAGTTTTTAGTTTGTTAGAAGGGAAACTTTGCCTGTTATGTTCTTTATTTGCAGTTAAATGAACTGAGAGAGTTATTTCTTTTAAACCTTTGGATTGAGCAATTCTTCCCCTTTCAGATGCAAAGCAGAAGAGCTCCAATGGAGAATTCATACCTCAAGCACGTCCACGAAGTAACACTCTTCCAAAAAGCTTTGGTTCCTCTCTTGACCAAGACGATGAAGAAAATGGAGATGAGATGCGGGTTGTGCAGAAAGAGAAGAAGCCCACTAAGGAAGCTACACTTGAACTCATTTTGAAAAGATTAAAGGAAAAACGAGTTGAGAGATGTTTGCCAGAAGATATAAAAGTAAGCATGAGGTTATGAATAGGCTGTTTCTAAGAGAATAACAGATGTAGATAGAGACCTATCAGACACTTCAGATACCACTTTATCAACAAAGTGATGCCTCTGTCTAGCAGCCCATTACCAAACTCTCATATTTCAGGCTGTGTGGGGAAATGATTAAGATGAACCAAGTTTTCCTTGCTCACTCTTTATTAAAATATTTACAAGTGCGTGCTGACAATATTGGACAGCTTTAAATGGATGAAGGTGGGAGGTATGGTATTAACTAAGCCAAGTTGACTAAGGTGTCTGTATAGCTGATAATGTAGAAAAACTGTTGAAGCGACTCGTGTTTGATGAGATGTGACTTACTCTTCTGACAGAAAATGACTAAGGACCATTTGGTAGAAGAGAAAACATCTCTCCAGAAAAGCCTCCTGTATTATGAAAGTCAACATGGACGGCCGGTAATACTTGGTTTACTTCATCAAACTATATTAGTGTTTGCATAGACGACAGGAACTCTTGTGCAGTAGTAATTCCAGAGTTCAGTGCTGGTGTCTAGGCATTGTTTTTTTTTCTTCTCCAAACTACAAAGTTATCTGTTGGTTTCCATGTTGCCATCAGAGGAAGCTATTGCGTTGACTTTTTTAAAAAATTATGCATTAATAGACCTTTTTTCCACAGATCAGTAGGTTATTGGAGTTTGCAAAGTGATTGGTATTGTTTGGTGCCTCAAGTGTCCATGAAGCAAAGAGAAATCTTAAAAATAAACGATGCTATTGAAAAGGCCTGAAATGTTGTTCTGGGTTTCACAATAATGGAAATAAAGATGCTTTTTGCCTTTTTTTTTCTTTTTTTTCCCTCCCTTCAGTCTGTAGCATGTATCTTAAATAATTGGAGATATGGAAGTTAGAGTAAGTGGCTAGCAATTAGTGCCTAAAGTTCTGGGTTTTTATCGTGGACAGTGATCAGCATCACTAGTCCAATCACAAGATCCTTCCAGTTACTATTGCATCAGCCTGCTGGGCTTGGCATGCTAGTTTTGTAATCAGCACTGCTGTATAAATCTGACCAAGCCTTTCATTGTAAAAGCCAAGGAAGAATAATGGTCTTGGAGATACCGGCACGGTTCTACAATCCCCTTAGCGAGAAAATGCCAGTAACTGTTCAGAATAACCTGTAAGATTCATTATGTTAGTGCACACGGTGGCCAAGAATTGAGAGTAAATCAGGTATCAGATAAAATCTCTCTACAGTTTCATCTTTTTCTTTTTTCCCTCTCATTTCTGTAGAATCATCATCAATGCTGGGCACACAGTCTTCTCCCCCAGTTCTTGGTCCCTTTTTTCCTCTTTTCCATGGGTCTTTAAAGATAGAGGGTTTGTTTCTACTGAAGCTCCTGTAACATCTAGGAAATATTTATAACTTCTTCCTGGAAAATGTAAGGACTTAAAGTGAGAAAAGAGAGGAAGAAAAAGCACCCACTTATTCCGCTTTATCTGCATAAATCCCATTTCATACACACAATTTAAACTAGTTTTGTGTTCCTGATTGGAATGTACCTGGCCTGGCATGAGAAGCATACCGCTTTGTGTTTGTATTATGAAGTGACTGGTATAATTAATTCTGTGGTTTCTCTGCCTTTAGGTTACTAGAGAAGAAAGACATATTGTGAAGCCACTTTATGACAGATACAGACTTGTAAAACAAATGTTAACTAGAGCAAGCATTACTCCTATTCTTGTGAGTAAACCAAATGCTATTTCTATTTTTTTCCACTTTTGAACTGCTAGGCTGCCTTTAGAAGAGCTAGTAATACTGTTCCGTAAAAACACATCTTTCTTGTAGAAGATACAAGATGTTGTTGTCACTGTACTTCAGGCATTTGATTTACTGCTAAGAGCAGAGCAGTTCAAAGCTGTCTGTGACCTTGATGGCTCTCAGGAAGTAAATGGTTCTTGGTGGAAGTCAATCAGCTCCTCTGACTTGCCATGGCGGAGATGTTCCCAAGCCACCGTGCTCGGTATGGATCTGCAGTACAGACTGTACTTCTAGTCCTCCCAAGAATAGTAACAGCAGTTGCAGTGAAGCTTGCCTGCCTTCTGCACTGTGGGTTGCTGTCACTGGAGGCGAGAGTGATAGGATGGCCGTAAGAACCATGTCATTCTTTCATGCTTCCCCAGTGCGAGACATGTTGTCAACATCTGCAGCATCTGTACAACATCTGCACTTTTCCACTATGTTTTCACTTCATTTCCTTCTAACTTGCAGTGCTTTCCATTCTTTTCTTTCCTCTCTCTGTGGTCTTGTAAGAGTTGAGGAAGGAAAGTTTTCATCCTGTGCAAGGAGATTGATGTGACCTTGTTTATAGTACCTGTAAAACAGTTGGGGAATGACAGCCAGCTGGCTGTCTCTGTTCTTCGTGAGCTGTAATAAAAGTCCTGCATGCTGACCCAGACTTGCAACAAAACAGTTTTGATGTTAGCCATTTGACCCTTTTGGAAGGAAGGGACTGCATAGCTGGTGTGAGATAATCTCTTTACGTACAGGCTGGGCAGTGTCTTCCTCAGCGGGAATTAATCAGCTGTTTACGATGACTCTGACTGTCCTTAGCTATCGCCTTTAAGGTGAAGTACGTCGAGATAACGGGACCAGTTCAAGATCGTTCCTTTCTTGCACATACATTTTTGGGTAGCTGCTTTTATAGAAAAATGTGATTTACATTGCAGTCATATTTCAGTTTAAGGGCTTTTATATCAGTATCCCTTTTTGAACTCGATAAACACAGGTTGCTCTTAAACACGTAAGCATTTCTCTACGACTGGTGAGTCATAGGTTATTGGTGTCCTTGTCTGGTTGAGGTTTATCCCACCTCTCACCTCAGAAATGTGACTCTCAGCTGAGATGCATTTTAGATTATCAGTGGCATTATGACTATATCATAGTCGTTCTTTTTTTTTTTTTAGTTTTTATTTTTGGCTGTGAAGTAACAGGATGGGTGATAGCCAACCAAAAGGATTTTAAATTCAGGAGAGATCCTGGTAACATAATTCCTCATCTGTGCTGTAGGCAGCATCTGCAAAATACTTTTCACAGGCCTCTGCTTTTGAAACCTCTAAGAGATATATGGAGCTCTCTGATTACCAAGAATTGTTCAGTGATAGGTTCTAGGTAGGCTATATTCAGTGCCAGGTGTTCCAAGCATTGCTTTTTGGTTTATATCACACTTGCTTCCATGAGATGTCTCTTATGATACTGTGATATACTGACCACATACACTGAAGCCTGTATGGAAAAGTCCAAAGCAGCAGGAAGCTATTTACCTTTCATGAACTGAAGCTTTTTGAAAGGTCGTTGTCTGTCTGGCTTCTGTGTTCCACCTTCCTCCTGTTCCGAGAGTCCATCCGTGGCAATTGCTGATCCTGTCCAGGGATAATGGTTGCGCAGGGCGTGATTGCCTGTGTGCAGCAGGCAGTAGCAGTGATGCAGGCAGAGCACAGCGGCACCTCTCTTAGCCTGACTTTCAGAGGGCTTGGACTCAGAGGTGGTCATAGATAACTCTTACACAGCACTTCCCATTGCTGGGCTGCAGAGTGGGCTAGAAAAAGAAACTGGTGGTATTATTCCCAGTGTCTGCCTGGCAGAAGATAAAAAGCGTCTTTGGCTTCTTGTCACTTTATTTTTATAATCTCCTTGTGGTTTGGTTTGGGAGGAACAAGAGTAAATATGAAATTCAGAGATATCTTTGCACTTCATGATTTTTCTATCATGGAGAGAGAGTTTTCTAACATAGATGGTTTTCTAACATGGAGAGAGAGAGAGAGAGTGCTTTTTATTTAAAGTTGGAAGGAGAATATTAAAAGTTCCAGATGTTTTTACTTCTGTGTCAAGGATACTTTGGGCATCTGAGCTTTTTGGGTTATATGGTTGTTCTGTCTGTGCTCTGTAAGTATGTTTGCAGTCTTTTGTTCTTCTGAAAGAAGAAATACCTTTAGGTATTAGGTGACTTGAACAAAATTCTGACCACACGCAGCATTTAATGTCTAATTGCACAATAATGAAACATACTTAAATTTTTTGCAGGGGTCACCATCAACCAAGAGGCGGGGGCAGATGTTACAGCCCATTATTGAAGGTGAAACTGCCCATTTTTTTGAAGAGATCAAGGTGTGTACAGTGCCTACTAAAAAAATGCTTCCCGGCACTTGTCATAGGGAACTGAAATATTTCATATTTGTGTTGAATTTCTGCTTTAACTTCAGGAAGAAGAGGAGGAAAGTGATGGTTTGTCTGCAGACCTGAATGATATCTTAAAAACTGCTGCCCAAACACAGTCTGTTTTAAGCCCAGTTGAAAACTCCGAGTCTGATGTTGAAGATGGTCAAGAGAAGCTGACCCGGGACCTTAGGCTGTCGAGCACCCGCGCTGCATCTATGTATGTAAAAATGAGAATTGACTATTTCTATTCTAGAAATGGCAATTATTTGGCTTACAGTTGTGATACCAAACATCCAGTGTTGGGTGGAAGGGAGTGGCCTGTTCAGCCCTTCTCAGGAAGCGTCTGGCTTGAATGAGTGTTCTTTCCTCTGGCATGTTGAAGATCTTTTTGTATTCTGTGAATTGTTCAGTATGTTCTAAACCTTCTTCAGCCTCACTTGAGCTGTGTAGACAGCAGAGAATTTATACCCTTTTATTAACTACTAGTTTGTTCTCAATATTTCACCATCAGACAGATAGTGTATTCCTCATGAGCAAGACAAATTTATTATTAGCGCAGGTAGCTCAGTTGTTTTTGAGTATGCTTTGAAGAATTTAAATTTAACTGTATGGAAAACAGTATTTTTCTTTCACTTGAAATTTTTAGGCCTGAATTATTGGAGCAACTGTGGAAAGCCAGAGCTGAAAAAAAGAAGCTACGTAAGACATTACGAGAATTTGAAGAGGAGTTTTATCAGCAGAATGGAAGGTTTGTTTAGCACAAAACCTGATGCTGGCCAGCAGCCTCATTTTGCAGCCAAGTATTTTTTCAACTTTATATATGAATGTTGCCAAACGGAATCTGATCTGTTTTAGTCTCTGCTATGAATAATCACCTGAAGGAGGTAACATTGTGGCGTATTTTTAGTAGTGGAGGAAGCTTGCTCCTGAACTTTGTTTCCTCTATTACAGTCTGTAAAGCGTAATAAAATTGAACAAGTTATTTTTTCATTTAAAAAAAAAATGTAAAGTACTTATATGTAAAAAATACTTTTTACATATAAAAACCCCTTTAGATTATTCCTTTATTTTTAACATAGGGCAGGGAAATTTGCCGATTTGTCCTTTGTTCCAGTAGGCCAGTCCTGACAGTGGATATTTGCTTTAGCAGTAAAGGAGTTCATCACTTTTATTCTTCTCTATAATGTTTAGTTCTTTTAGGCTTCTTATCTGACTGTATATTGTTACGGATTTGATCGAACTGCTGCCTTTTGTGCGCAGTAGGAGGTTTTTCAAGGTGTATCACCTCATGAACAAAACTGATAACTCTCTTTAAGAGGTCAGTTGCTTTCTTGACTGGCAGATGTTGTCACTTCACTGCACTTCCTACTGTATTGCTCCTTATGTAGGAACTCCTGGACTATTGGTCACACAAATTTCACTAATGTGGCTTCATCACACACTTGCCGAATTTGACATGTAACTCCTTTTGACTTTAATGGCAAAAAATGAGTTTGTTAATGGAGGGTTGATTTAAAAATAAGTCAGATTTAATAGATAATTTATTATAGTCCAGTCTTAAATAAGAATAATTCTCTGCTGTGAATTTGTGGGTCAGTCTGCATACAGTGAAAATGTAGATTGACTTAAATTTATTTGTATTTTTCTGTAGTGTATACACAGGATCTGAAATGAAAGTCTTCATATCCTATTGTTAAACTGTCCAGAAGGACTTAAGATCGATTTATAAACAATGCTGCAACAGTTGTGCTGAATAAATGCAGCTGGTTTTCTGTTCAGTTTTTTAGGTGACGGCAATTTTAACTACAAGGAACTAAAGTATAACAGTGTGTCTGTTATTGGTGAACGAGCTGCCAAAAATGTTTTTATCTGCCCCAAGATAACTGCACATTGCTGCTTTTGTGTTTGACTTGCTGCAGTGTGGAGGATTTTCTTGAAACTTAGGTGTGCTTCTTTTTACAGGAACGTACAGAAAGAAGATCGGGTTCCAATGCTTGATGAGTACAGGGAGTACAAGAAAATCAAAGCCAAACTTAGGCTGTTAGAAGTCCTTATCAGCAAACAAGATTCTTCAAAATCAATTTAAATTCAATTCCTCCAACCCATTGAGTAACATGATGTTTCCGTATGCTACCACTGTACTTATTGGGTGCTTGTGTTCATTTGTCATGCACTGTTGGAAGAATCCAGTTTGTGCACTTTATTGTGGTGCCACTATAACATGTTCGAAGGGTAAGTAGGTCCTGGCTAGAGAGCAAGTAAGATTTCTAAGTCTGAGACTGCTCTATCCAACTTTAGCAAACACAGTTTCCATCAAAGTTTTGTATTACAGATGCATCCATCTTGTTCCAAAACAACCATAGCATTTTTTTTTTCTTTAGCATTCAAGAACTTTGATACTTTTGTTATTACCAACTTCTTGCATTACTGAAGAAATTATTAATAACATAATCTTACACTGAACTACTCCTCTTGCCTGTTTTTTATTATGGGGAAAGAAAAAGTCAGCAAATTAGATGTACAGCTCTTTTTCCTGGAACATTTAAAAAACTAGACTGAAATTCCTTTCAAAGGACTGCTGTGGAACAACAGTAATTTTTGGTATTCTAAATTGCACCTATAACACAGTAATAATTAACACCTATGGAGTTTGCTCATTAGTGGTCACATTACCTCCTTGATAAAGATGACAGTGGACAAACCAGAAAGTGACCTTTCTTAGTGTCTTTTAAAACTTGGAAAACTACATGTAAAGTTATATCACATGCTGCCTACAGGACTTATGTTACTGTTGTTCATTTTATCATTTTATTGGTTATTGTTTATCAACTAGAGGTGACATAGTGTTTTGTCGAATTGGATACTGCATCTCCACTTTCGGAAGATTTGAGGAACATGATGAACATTGCGGTGTCTGGGAAATCTGATGGCGCTCAGACTTGCATGGCTCCAGCAGAAAAGAGCTGGCTTACGACAGTTGCGATTCCACTGTACCTGAAAGAAGTATGGTGTCAAGGGCTAAAATCAGTGTAGTTAATGCACACCACAGGGTGAACTGTCGGTTTTGAGTGAAAAAATTACTGCTGTTTATCACAGTTTTGTTTTACAGTTGGAGAATAAAAATAAGTTATCTAACCTTTATGATGTAAGCAACAGTTTATGGGCCTTGCATGATTTAGCTTCAGAGTTGAAACTAAATAATGTTTTGAGTATCACATCTGCTGTGCTGAATGATGATTTAGCTACTAGCTTTATGCTCTGCAACAGCCATCAGCAGCTGGTTTTGATCTGTCAAAATCTAAGTGTTAATTTTAACTGGTGCTTTCAGTTTTTTTTTCTCTTCAGTGTATCAGTTTGATTGTGGCCATGTTTTGCATGCACCTACTCTCACTGCATGTTTTTATGAGTGGCTAATGTCAACATAGCTATTATTCACACTGCTTTATGGAAGACCAAAAATGAACTTTCTCACAATGTAAGAAATGGCTAGCATGTAACCTCATAGACTTGCTGTTCTGTCATGAAGCATATGAAATAGGTTGGAAGTAGGATTTTTAGTGCTCAGATTTCATCTGTGTACAGTAGAATACTTCTTGGTTTGTTTTACTCTGCTTGTAGGCATGTAATTTTGGAATTCAGAAAAAAAAAAGCACTAAAACTATTGAGCACTGGTGGTATGCCTTTTTTTTTTCCTCCTTTAAACTGCAAAATGATCTGGGACCTTAGAGAATTATGAGGTTCAACTAGTCTTGAGACCATTTATCGATTTTATTCAGTTCCATTGTGCAATGTACACTTCAGTTTTCTATCAGTCTGCAGACACGGGTGTATCCAAACATTGAAACTAATGTGTACTGTATAGTGTTGTACATGAATGTTTGTGTTTTATATACCACATGCAAAATGTCAATATGCACTATTTAAATGTTTTAAATAATATATTCCTCCTTTATAATGCTTAAATCTATATGATTCCAATATTTTTATAAGTGAGTGAGTGATCAGACTGGTTCCAATTCAGAATTAACAGCTGCTTTGTGTTCGTTATGCAGTGTTTGGCTGTTTATTCAGTATAGTAGATAAGCATGGCAACAGTTATGCTGAGTGTGTTTTGTGCCATCCTTGTTGAGCAATAAATAAATGGTAGAACTAGGCATTTTGTGATATAACAGTTTTACTTTGGTAAAAGCAAAACCTATATATCTATATGGATATATAGATATGGAATATATATAACGAAACCAGATATAATTGCATTGCTATGTCTGGTGCTCATTGTATAGACTTTTATAATAAAAGTACCTTAACCTTTATTGTCATATATCTTTGTTTCTCACCATGCTTTCTCCCCTGCCATCTCTTAAACACAAATGTGGAGTCCTTCGCAGTTCCCGTACATAGCTGTCTCCCCCCCCCCTGCCGGCAGAGCCGCCGGCACTGGTGGTGGCTCGGGTGCTGAGGCAGCCCTTGACGAAGCCACAGCAGCTTAAGCCCTGTTTTACCTGTTTAGGCTGTGCCTCGCCGCAGAGACAGCAGGAAAGCGACCAGATCAGCTCCCGAGCTGACAGCGGGGCTCACCGCGCGGTGCAGGCTTCGGTTCCTGCCAGGGTGCCAGCCTGCAGTGTGATGACGCGGGAGCAAACCGTGAGTCTCGCCCGTTCCTGCGCCAACAGCAGCAGCTTTCGGAGGAGATGGGGCAGGCGTTCAGCCATTACTGGGCTAATTAATTCACTGCCAGTGAATACGCTTGCAGCTGACTAGCAGTATTGGATTGTGTCCCTATATCCAGAATGATCTCTTAGCTTTAAAATCAGTGCCACCGCAGTTACTGCTGTGTTTGTGGCCAGAAGGCGCTGTTAACTGCATACGCTTCTGTAAACACAGGAGGATGCTTTTCCCCTGGACCACAGAGGGGTTTTGGTAGTATAGTGATGCAAGTTCATATGAAAAGTGATTGAGGTGTTTCAAACTGACTCTTGTGTTTTGTGTAAATCCACCTTTCTTCAGCCTAAGGCCTTACAGGAGACGGAAGAACTCGTGGAGGTGAAGACTCTGCTTGTGGATGTGTGGCTGTGCAGGTAAATGGGAAGAAGAAAAGCAGCTAGGAAGTGAGTGAGGAAGCGAAGGAGAGGAGGCAGAAGGTGGCCTTCAGTACGTTATTCGGGGTGGGACAGAGTAACCTTCCCTCTGATCACGTCTTTCCTTGGAAGACAGGGGGAAAAGCACAAATTCTAAGGACACTGGCTTGAAGAATGAACAAAGTTGCTACAGATCTGTTATACAATCCTCCATTTTTCCTTAGTTCATTATTTATTCAGCAAAGCTTGTTCTGATCAAGATGCTATTGAGAAGACAAAAACCCCTCAAATAGTGGCTTGGTGGGAACTGTTTAAAATCCATGTGCTACAAAGCAATGCACTAAGAAGTTTTTAATGAAGGAAAATAACCCCATTTTAAACACTATTGGCCAAAACAGAGGAGAAGGGTATTTTTGAGGGAGCAAAAAGCTCAGTCATACCAGCTCTTCCTTGCTGAAGTACGAGATCTGAGAACGCAAATCCATAGTATTCCAAACTTTGCCTCTTTAAAGAGCTTTGCTTGAGCTGTTAGGTGACTGCAGGGCAAGGCAGGCTGTGAAGAGGGTTTGCTGTGCAGCAGAGTAGTGGTGCAAGGCTGAGGAGTGCTTGAAAGCTCTTCCATGAAGCTGTGGGTAAGCAACTGTGGCTGAAGGTTCTGAGACTGCTTTGTATGAGAGGGGTTGCCAGGAGAAGGAAAGGTCGGAGATGCCGACGGTGCAATGCCTCTGTTTTCCCGCGTGTCAGGCTATTGAGTAATGATGATAAACAGATCATCAGCGACCTGTGTTTTCTGGGCCAAGTGTCCAGGGAAACTGCATAGCAACAGGAGCCCTTGGGAAGGGAAGGGGTGGTTTTATTTTAACCTGGCCCCCTTCAGCAGAGAGATGTTCTGGCTTAGGCAGGAGACAGCAGCAGAAAACCAGTGAACCCTGACAGACCAGTGCATGGTCACACTGTGCTGCTGGGCTGAGTTGGTCTCTTTCTGGGTCCCTTCAACTGCCTATCTGCTCTCCTCTCCGTGACACCGCTCCCCCAGTGTGATTCGATGCAGGGAGACCAGAAACCATGCAGTTGCTTGATAGTGCTCTGCAGGGCATAAGGTTTTATAATATTATAAATCCTATAGGATTTTTATATAAGTTTTGGGATACTTGGGAGGCTGAGGGTTGTGTGTCGTACAGCAGCAGAACTTCCCTAGGGCAGGGTCTGCGTGGTACAGGTGGGTGCTGCAGCCCGGCCACGGCCCCGTGGTCAGATGGCAGGTGGACATGTGCTTTATTTCTTCCTGTGGCTGTCCCAGCAGGGAACAAACACTGATGGCTGCGTAGGAGCAGATAGTTTCTGGTGTGAGCAGAACACCTGGACTCTAGGGCAACGGGTGGGTATAAACGGATTTAGGAATCGAAAGGATGTTCTGAAAACTGCGGCTGGTGCCAGGGTGAAGCCAACCCCCCTCTGGTGGTACCAGCTGTTAAGGCTTGATCAAAGTAAATGATTGATTGATTGATTTCTTGCAAGAATAGTATTTTTTTTCTCTGAGGGGAACTGTAACCTGTTTTGGAAGCAACAGGTGCCTGGAACAAGGATTGTTGAGAAATGAGCATTAACCTTGGCGGCAGATGCACTCGCAGAAGAAAGCAGTCTGGGGAAGGGAGGGCCAGCAGGGCGAGGCAGGCCCGGGGTGCCGTGGTTGCCGATGATCCACTCCCTGGATCACGAGAGCAGCCAGCATGTTTCTGCGTCTCACAGCAGCCCCAAAACAAGGTGCGGGAGTACGTCTCATCCAGACATTTGTGGAGATGCCTACCCAGAACTCCAGCAGGGCTGCTCAGCTCTTCTCAGAGTTGAAGAAGCACCTGAAACTCTCAGAGGGAAGACCCAAAAGCTACAACACTGTAACCCTTTATTAACATGCCTGCTACTCTAATCCAGAAATAGAAAAAAAGTAAAGAGGGTGGAGGGGGAGATGGGGACTTTGGGTTTAAACTGTGAGGAATCAGGCCATCTCTGTTACCAGAGGAACTCATGCACTTCCCTGTGCCGTCTTGCCTGAAGTGTCCTTCAGCTGGTACATCCTTTTCTTAATTCTCTTCAGTTGTGCATTAATGTTATTTAATTCCTTCGCCAACCGAGCTGTGTACCTGAAGAGCCTAGAACACACAAACACAGCAACGCATCCTTGAGATGGTGCTGCCCTTGAACTGGCTTTTGCAGCCTTCCTGTCTGCTCACTTGTGTCAGCTGCCAAGGGTCAAAGTCCTGAAATACCGCTTCACAAGGTCTGACAGTCTCTGCCCCCCTCCCCGGGCAGCCGCAAGGAGAGGGACAAATTCTTGTCCCACCTCATTCTTGACTAATGTGCTTACAAGCTGCTCTACTAAATTCCTTTGTTTCCTTCTTCTCTCCCTGAGGGCAGCTGTTGTCAGCCAGTATAAAAGCACTTAAAATATCTTAAAATCACTGACTTTGTGTTGATCTTCTGTCTCTCGCTGGGTGAGGGTTTCAGCTATGGCTGCAGCTGCCTGGGGATGGGAATAAGACCGCAAGAACAGACTCGCACACGGACTTACTGCTGAAACTCTGCGGTGGAGACATAGCTCTGAGCTGGGACTGCGTCTGTGTCCTCAGTAGATGAATGCTTCTGATGAATTTTTTCGTTCTCTTTCTGTAGCTTGGATAAGTTCAGCTGGCTCTGTTGGACACCAGAGGGATTTAAAAACAAACAAACAATCACAGACAAAGCCAGCATGGCTCACTGGGACAGTTGTAATGCAGCCACTCGTGCAAGGAGGGAGCACGCATGCGGGAGAAGATAGATGCATTCTCCATCTGAAAGTAGATTTTCCTTCTGGCCCTTCCAAAAAGACAGGATACAGCAATATACATTTCTTTTCAGAGTTGAGAGAGATTGCAAGCATTGTGTGTAGTAATGTTTACAGCTAGCCAATGGGCTTTTCCCTCTCTTGTTGCAGAAGTGATCTTTTTTAAAATGTATTTTAGAAGCACTTGCACAGGCTTACCCCCCATATGGACCTACCAAAGACTGCTGGAAGACTTGTTTTCCACGCATCTGTTTAACATTTGGGGAAATGCCCAGCTCACAACTTGATACCATTGCTAAGACACACTGATCTCGTCCTACTGCCAGCGGGTGACCCTGCCTGAACAAGCTTCCATGTGAAGCCTGGGGCGTAGTTAGTGATTTTCTTCTTTATTCATAGGTCTAGCTTTTGCTATTCCTGTGATGTTAAAAATAGTATCCTATGGAGAAATAGTTTTTGTAAGTAACGGTGGGGACAACTGTAGCTCCTTTTGTATTATTCAACTTTTGAAATACGATCAGCTGTTTGTAAGAATATAGGAAAGAATAAAGCCTACCTTTTCTTTAGCAGTGTCTTCATTGGAAAGCTGAGAAATATCCTTTCTTTCAGTGGCTGGAAATTTCTTGCTTCTCATTCGCACAAATAAGAAGAGACAGAAGTCCTGTGAGAACAGGTCTGTGCTGGGTGCAGGGGGTAGCAGCAAATGCGGAGATCCTACCTTTCCAAGCTCTCATCTGCGGGCTTCGTGTCCATCTCTGGTTTCTTCAGCTTGAGCTTGACAAGGGCCTTATTGCAACCCTGAACGCAGACAGGGAAAGTCAGGCGTGTTAATTGGCTTGTGTTTAACCACGGATACGTTTGCACAAGGACTTGAACACAAGGACCAAACCGTTCGCATAATGCCTTGGCAGTGAAACAGAATCCCAGCAGACTATCACTGTCTTTGCACCCGTAGCCCAGCTCGGAGAACTTACCCTGCTGTATCTCAAATTTGTCACGCAATCCCCAAAGGTAACAGCCAGCCAAATCCAGTAAGAGTGTCTGTTTTCAGGCATATTCAGTTCTATCTCACTGTCGTCCCAGGTAAGTAGGAGAATGGGCTTGGGTGGGGGGATCTAAGCTGTGCAGTTGCTGACCAGACTGGCTGCATCCTGGGCAGGGGCTCCCCCCTCCGTAACGAACGCTCGGCTTTGCAGAAGCGTCTATTGCCACTCATAAAATCCTACAGGAAACTTTCAGGCTGCCAACCCGCCTCTGCAGCGCGGGCAGCGTAGGCTGACTTGGAGAAACGCAGTCTGAATGTGCGGGTCTTGCACCCCACACTCATCTCAGTCTTATTTCTCCCACGGGTGATGCTGTATGCCCCAGTTAAAGTCGGGTTCCTAGGCGGAGGAACTGACTTGTCCCAGCAACAGAGCTGGGTGCAGTCTCTGGCTTCAGTGTATGCATTTGGCACGGAAGAAAGAGGTCATAATTTCAAGTTGAACCAAAAAGTTAGGGAGAGATTTGTTCCCCTTTTGTACTAATTTCTGGCTCATAAAAATGGTCTGAACTTTGTGGAATTTTAAAGGTACATATTTCTACTTGTCTTCCCATGCAGAGAAGATCTTTAGTTTCTCAGTTTGGAAGAGCAGCAACAGTAAGTTCTGAAGAAAGCTGATGATGGGATACATCACCAACCAGGCTGGTCTTAAATACTGCTTTTAAAAGGGTGAAGTAAAGGTAGGGTCCTTGCACCCTAACTCATACGCTGCTCTTGCCATCAGGAGCTCCTGTGGGTTTGATGGAAGGATGTCTCTCTATCTGTCAAATCTTTATTTAAAGTGAAAATCAAATATTGGGTGTTAAATGATTACGGCCTGGCTATTTAAGGGTCTTTGCCAGTGATGTAGCTTAGAATTCCTCCTCTTATCTTGAATTAAATGAGGTAGTTACAGAAGTGTTTACTTACCCGTCTAAAGAGGTCTCTGATCTGAAGTTCTTGACTGGGTATCACTGCAAAGTCTGCTTTGACTTCTGCATAGGTGTGATTTACAATAGCCACAAACATGTTCTGCACAGGAAGGATGCAGTTAGATATTTGTTTCTGGAAAATGCATTTGTATTGTGCTAGGGCATAACTGGGGGCTGCTCCCTGCTAGGGCACGTAACTATCGCTGGGCGCGGACGTGCTCCTAATGCTGTTGAATTATCTGATAATCCTACGGTCTTAGGGAACGTTTTTGGAGACAAATCACGCGTTTCCCATCGGCAGTATAGGCTGAAAGGCCCAGTTCCTTGGAGGTAATGGGCTTCCTGTCGTATACCTGTAGCTTTTTTAGATGGTGTTTCAATGTGAGGTAATTAGTGAAAACATCGATCTAGCTGATAAAGCAAAGCTGCGCCTACACCGTCCCACCAAAGTTTCTCTTTACCCTTCCTACCTGTCAAGGCAAACACTATGCAGTTTTGAAGAGCACCCAATTAAGCTTTCAGAGATTAAAGTCTCAAGAAGTGGGTGGTGCACTAGAGCGAAACGCTCAACGTGCTTGTTTTGTGGTGCCAAAGGCCCTTTTGTGGCTGTTTGGAGGAAGGGAGAGCTGTGAAAGCTCTGGCCTGCTGGGAGCTCCTGCAAAAGAGTCCAAGCTGTCTCTGTGCCCACGTGTACCGAGGGCAGCCAGGGCCAGCCCGCTCTTAGCGTGGGGTGGGAAACACAACAGTTCTTCTCCACTGCTTATGCCAAAGGATCAGCATTTCTAAGATGATACCTACCAGCAGTATGAAGAACACAAAGAATACAAATGTGATGAAGTAAATAGGTCCAAGGATTCTGTTTGCTGCTTCTATGGTTTCAAAATTAAAATCTCCCAGCACGATACGAAACTGTGTAAAGCTGGGAGTAAAAAATACAAGAATGAGGTTGACTGGCTTCTCCTAAAGGGAAGTATCATAAGCATTATCTAAAACAAAAAAACAAACAACCAAAACCAAAAAAACCCCAAACCCAATAGATACAATTGAGACTGATTCACCATCACCTTAAGTCACCTATAGGAAAAGGCACGCCAGGACAATACTGCAATGGTAAGTTGGGCATTTAGCATATATTTGAGAATTTGGACATACAAAGGAATTTTTAAATGGCCTCTATGAGAAAATACTTCCATTTTGGATAAATCACCTGGAGATTTTTTTTTTTTTAATTATTTCCCTTCTAGCTTTGTGATCCCGTCTTCTGTTAGTACAGAACGTCCTTATCTATAGCGACAGTATGCAGTATAGGTCCCTATGTTCCCCTATAGGGGATTTTATTCCTAGCTAAGACAAATAAATATTTCTCTGTATTGCAGCATATTAGAAATATCTCACATCCAGGTGGATCTAAACTGAGCTATTTTTCTGCTTTAGAAGCACCTTAATTTTACAAGAGAAAGCTGCTTTCAAACAATGTGGTACACGACAGATACCTGCCTAAAGCTTGTAAGTACCACAGCTATGGCTAAGCACAAGGCACACTGCGGGTGACAGGTCAGGGTTGCTCTATGGCGCAAGGACCATCGAAACCAGTTCCAGCTGGCACCTGCAGTTGATCTGATCTTGCTACCGTGAGTGACTCAAAAAACTCTGGGGAAGAAAGTAACAGAGCCACCAGCTGGGATGTGGGGACTCTTGGCTGTGCAGCTGGCTGTTTTGTTGAAAGAGCTGGGATTCCTGTGTGCAGACCTGCTCAGCTTGCGCCCCGAGCCTCTCGGGTCTCTCAAGCAGTTGGGCTGTGGTTTTCATGCTGGAGACGGTATCGCACGCCCAGCGGCACGTCTGCTGGGTAGCTTCAGACTCCTCCTTTTGAAAGGGGCAACGGAGAGCAGCCTGCTGCCAGGCCTGCCCGGCTGCCCAGGGGCCTGGTTAGCCACAGCAAAGCCGTGCTGGGAGCCCTGGGGACCAGCAGCTCCACTGGGCCAGCCACGCCCAAGCTTCCCCTTCTTGTGCTTCCCTCACCCGTTTAATGTACATGTGGTCGCTTTTGAACATATGAAGGTCTTAGGAAGCAGCTTGTAGAGACAACAAAATTGGCTTTACTCTCTGAAATAAGCTTAAGTGTTGCAGACCACTACTCTTAAGTTTTGCTTAGCAGAAACTGGTTTGCACCTGCACCAACTGGGGATTTTGTATCAAAAAGTTTAGAAAGTCACATACAGGCAGTTCTGGAAAGTGGAAAACTCTTCAACTTGCGACCCGAAGACCAGATAGCCTAACTGGGCATAGGCAAAGAAAATGATGAAGAACATGATGGCAAATCCAATGATCTCTTTGGCACAGCGAGATAAAGTGGAGGACAGCTGCGTCATGGTTTTGTTAAAGCTTATATATTTAAATATCTGCAAGAGAACAGAACCTATTGTTACTGGGGGATCACAATGTATTGTAACTTCTTAACTGCATTTCTGGAATGTTCTCTGTAATCGTAATTTACAGGTTAAGTCTTACCTAGAAAGAAGCTGCGTGGTCTGTATCCATAAGGAGAGCTAGGATTGGGTGTGTTTCTGGAGCAGATGAGTATTCTGCAGAGCAAATACGCTCGTGTGCTAAAGCCAATAGTGTGTGGCCAGGTCTCTGCTGGGTACTGGTAAGTGTAAGCAGCTCTAGCAGAGAGGGACCCCCAGTCAAGGAGACTGCCAGACATACCCCCCTCAAATCCCTGATGGGCTGAGTTGGTAAGGAGCAGTCTTTTACTTCAGCAAATGTATTTGCAAGTAAGAATGAAATTAAAGGTGTCCTGGCACAAAACTTTGGCTATAAAGGCTATGAATAGCTTCACCTGTTACAGCCATGCCATCTGTGTAGGTCAGGACGTGACCTGGACAACATCAGGTCTAGGAAACGACTGAGTCTGAGGAGGCTGTTTGGTAATTTCCCAGCTGCTCCAATGGAGACAGCTGCCGCTGTGCAAAATTTTTCTTTAGATGGGCTTGGAATTTGTGTGACTCGTGTTTACGAGAAGGAGGTAATCTTAAACTCTTCTGGAATCTCCAAAACCAAATTCTTCCTTTTAGCCCCACTGCTGCAGAAGAAGTAAAACTGAACATTTCTGCTGTGCTTAGAAACACTGATTCTTGAGTACAAAAAAAGGGAATAAGAACCAATACCTTTATCCAAGCAAAAAAGATGTTGACAGCAATCATGTTGTTGTAAAGGACTTGCCAGAACGCAAGGAAATAGAAGTCTGGATACACGTGGGCATCAGACAGCAGCTCTTCCATAAGCAGGGACACTTGTACAGTGCGGTAGATGTTGAAGGCAATGGCAAGGATGGATACCTGCAGGAAAGCAGAAGCCAGTGAAGCTGAAGTCCAGCTCCATCCCCTCTCTTCAGACTTGTCATTTTGCCCAGGAAGGACCGCACTGATTTCAGAAGGCCCTTGGTTAGATTTGAAGAACCTGAGCTGCTTAGATGTTTTGTCATAAACTGTAAATAGAGACTCTATTGGCCAAATCATTTGTAATTGTACTGTGATAATTCTGGGTTTGTGCTGTGTAACATGTTGCATGCATTCCAATTTTACTGCATTAGCTCTGTTAGCCATTGTGCTTCCCTGCTCAGCAAAGCTCAAGGCTAGAACAAACAAGGTGGATAATGAGTGGAAAGGACGTGGAGCCACAGCAAGCCCACAGCAAGGCTAGGAAAGAGTTCAGGTGTGCTGAACCACGGTGGGTGCTGTTCAGTGCAGAACAGCGGGTGGCTGACCCTAACCAGACGCCGAGCTGGGCTGCTGGGGCTCATGGCTGACTGTGCAGTGCTAGCCTAGGCTGGCAAGCACCGAGGTGAAAGTCGAGGGGTGGCTCACCACCAGCAGCAGCAAATCCAGCCAGTTCCAGACACTTCTGAAATACTCCTTTTTCAGTTCTACAATGTTTCTAGCTTTCTGGATGATGAATGTAACCACAAAGAGGCAGAAGGCGATTTCGCAAGCAGCCAGGAAGTAATCGTAGTATGTGACGTATCTGAGGAGCTTCACAGAGTAGATATGGGAGGAGGTGAGAGCACCTCCGGTGGCAGGGAACTCTACCACCAACCTGGAAAAAAACGGGGACTGGTGTTAGTTGCCATCCCTTTAAATCACCATAGCTTTTAATTTTCTAATACTAATTATTACTACATTAGTAATGCCTTACTGGGACTCCTACATCTGTAAGATGTTCTTGTAAGGGCTACGCTAGGTCCCTCAGGAGAAGTGTATTACATGGTAGGGAAGGTTGAGGGGAAAATGAGAAGCTCCTGGCATACCCAAGCTATGGTGTTTAGTTAAAAGTCTTTAAACAAACTAAGTCTCAGAGGAGCAGATGCCTTACTCTGCCCTGAGTCCTCCCTCCATTAGCTGGGAACAGGACTCATAATCCAGTCTTTCAGCTCACAAAAGGCTATGAAATCTATTCCAGCTGCAGAGACCAGACACCAACTATTACAAAAAAAAATGCAAAGGAAGGATCTGGGTCTGCTCCATGCACTAACAGAATTTCTGCGTTCTTAATGAATTCCTGTCTTACCAGCTGCTACCCGAGAAACATGGCTACATATGCCTGCGGTGACCAGCCCGTCCTTGTGTCCTTATGGGAGCATCACGCCTCGGTAGCTTGGATTTCACATGCAGTAAAGGTAAGAACTCACTTGATTATACAGAAGAGGTTTATGTTAGCGTTATACGTTGAGAAGTCGATAAATACAGCCCTGGTTCCTCTAGTGAGCCAGCCGTTCTGCCTGAGAAACGCCAGCTTCTCCACGGTCTCCTCCTTCGATTCGGGTAAGGTGAACTTATATCCTCCGCTGCTGTACACGCCCCTAGACCCCCAGTACCACGGGGACAGCGAGGAGGCTGCGGTGTATTTCCATCTATCACAAATGGGAAAACAAAGCCACTCAGTTTATGAAACCGGACTGAAGTAAGCTGTTAACTTTTGGTTTATACAATCCTTGTTAGTTCTTGTGCTCTTCTGCACCCACACTGACCATTTAAGCCAGACCTTTAACTAACAATCTGCTTTACATGCAGTATGCATGAGACATACGGCCTTAAGATATTCCCATTTCTTCTATTTAGCTACTCGGTACGTTCACTGAACAGCAATTGCTTATGAACCTGGATTTCACCCAGCGTGGGCCAGACAGCTTATTGCCTTAAACCCTCACAGGTAAATGGAGTATCTCTGCTCTGCGTAGTTCATCGTTCCTGCGGCATCTTCACGTGTTCTTCTCATTGCGTAAAAGCAATGCTAAATGAAGTGTGTGAAGCAGACCTTTTGGCTCTGTTTCCTGAGCTTTTTTAGCATGATTCCAATTTATAAACATGTGATTTAAATTCAGGCCTTAGATAATTGAGCATTTCTCCAGAGATGTTAGTGGAGATAGGCCCGCTAACATGTGCTTCTGCAGAACTGGGCTCGCTGTTTCCAGTCTGTCCTGTCTCTCCATTATAAATTTCCCATGCCAAATTCCCATCTATAACGTTGGCACAAAACCAAATCCATGGTTTATCTCAATGTAAATAAGAGAAAAACTCAGCTAATTGCATGTACAGTTGTTACTAACTGAAGAATATGGACATTAAGGATATGGTTAGGTTCTCAAAAACACTTCTGTGCCGAAGCAGGATGACTTACTGAGACTCGTTCTTTAGACCAAATGCAGACCGGTCTTCAGCTCGGTAACGATAGTCACCGTAACAGTCTTCTAAGAGAGTATGGAAATAGGGGTAGATGGAGCAGGTGTTGTTGCGTACTTTCAGCTGGCGAATCTGGGGTACTCCTAACAGCAAATTCTCATAGTAAATGTGGCTGCTGTTGTGCTGGAGGGCCAAGGTTGTGTTGTTATGCCATTTGTCCCAGTAGAGTCCATCCAACAGGGGTCCTTCAGCAAACTGTATGTACAAGGGAGGTTAATGTTTCAAAAGAAAATTTAAATACTACTATTACCCTGCTTTTTAGCATACAAATCTCTATGAGGTTCTCAAGTTACTCATAGCTATAGAATCTAAGCTAGAATACAAACAATTGCCACCTGTATACCATCTTATAAATGGGATATATTTACATCTCTTTGCTGAGTCAGTTCTATTCCCCGTGCAATTTTATCAGAGATACGTAATGGGATCATGCAGGGTAGGGCTACAACGTGCGCCTGTTTGGGGTTTCATTGAAAAATTCTGCTGAATGCTGAACAAATATGTTTAAAAAAACATTACATGTTGTTTTAACAAAATCTGGTGGTTATCTTGATCTCTGAAGATCTGTTTTGGGATATGTATTTCTGACTAGGTTTTTAGTCATCTGAATCTCAGTGAAGAGGTATTTATTTTTGAAGGTGGGGGAAAAAAAAATCCCTCTTTTTCTGGGTGTTTCTTAGATGCAGATAAAGAGCACTAAATTCAAGGAAAATGTTATTCTGAGTACAAACCAACATGCCCCTGTGGTGTGGCACCATCTGAGCATGTATTACAGCCACTTCCAGCACATCAGGACGCACGTTGTGCAGCAAGGGCTCACTGTGTTATGGACTAGCAATAACAGACACCGTGGTCAGAGGGAGGACAATTCTTCCAAATCAAGTGTTACAACCAAGCATTTCCATTTTTAAGGCAGAATAGGGTGAGAAACTTTGCCTTCTTCTGTCAGCTGGGTGATGCTGGTAATTTGGGGAAGTCATCCACCTAATAGTGAAAACAGAGGTAAGGGTTTGGCAGCCGTCACTGAAATATGAGGTAAGGTAAGAGCAAACCAGGTGAACCCAGATGGTACGTTCTCCTGGCTGCCCCAGTGGAAATCATAGACATTTTGTGTTAATACCTGAAAGTCAAAAGAACTGTAAAACCAAAATCTTTCTGGTTGCATTGAAGCTCTTTTCAGAGCAAGTGTAGGACTGAGAGTACGCCGCAGCTATTAACTGGCCTGTTCTCCTCGAGTGATCACGCACAAGTATCGGTATTACTGTTTGTACCCAGGATATCCCCAAATGCCTTTTAAGAAGTTGTTTGATTTTCTCTGGATGAAAGCACAACGCCCAGCACACGGCTTTTGGGAGGACTGTGAGACTGTACCGCTCCCCGTTAACACCAGCAGCTCCTTCCCGTGTTTGCTCGCTGAGGAAACGTGCTTGCCACGAAACCTTACCCTCCAGAAATCGTCCCGGCTCCCGATGCTCGCGAAGCCCCTCGTGCCGTCCTCGGGCTCCACGAAGAGCCGCGACATGGCTTTGTTCAGGTAGTACATGTCCGTGCTCACCATGCCGAACGTCACTGGAAAGGAGGGACCGAAGAGGAGACGCTCGCAGGCTGACATCGGGGGATGCCAACAGCTCGCACGCCCCTTGTTAGCGAGCGGCCACCTCGGCCGTCGGGCAACTCACGTATGGAGAGGTCTGCCAGGAAGATGGCGTAGACGACCAGCTCCCACAGGGTGGTTTTCAGTTGCAGCTCCCCGCTGACGCGGGGCTTCGCGGCACCTGCAGGGGGAAATGGCGG